CCAAACTAGCTCTCTTCCAGCCGTCAAGGCTCACAAACGGCGCCTCCGCCACGCCCAAACAGCAGGGCCCTGAAGGACGGACCGAGCCTCCGGGCAACCGCCCCCACTGCCTAACGTTGCTTTCTGAACCTACAAGAAAACAAGCTCTCTTCCAGCCGTCAAACCTTCAAAAACGCGCCCTTTCCGGCCGTCACAAACATTCAAAAACGGCCGTGAGTGCCTAACGTTGCTTTCTGAACTGCCTACAAACTAGCTTCAAACCTTGCTGTTTCCTGCCGTCAGCTCGAGTCCAAGGACCCTGTCGCGGGCCTCAAACACCATGGCAGTGAAGGACGGATCGGGCCTGCGGGCCACGGCCGTGAGTGCCTAACGTTGCTTTCTGAACCTACAAGAAAACCTTGCTGTCTGACCCAAAACGGCGCCTGCGCCACAGCCAAACAGCAGGGCCCTGAGGGACGGACCAGGTCTGCCGGTTCAAACCTTGCTGTTTCCTGGCGTCAGCTCGGGTCCAAGGACCCTGTCGCAGGCCTCAAACACCATGGCAGTGAAGGACGGATCGGGCCCGCGGCCGGCAGCCCATACTGCCAAACGTTGCTTTCTGCAGTGCCTAGAAACTAGCTTCAAACTTTGCTTTTCCCTGCGTTCCTGCACTGCCAACTGCCAACTTGCCTGCATTGTCTGACAGCTGGCTTTCGTGCGGCACAGCTCCGGTCAAGTCGAAACTAGCTTCAAACCTTGCTGTGTCTTGCCGTCAGCTCGAGTCCAAGGACCCCTCCGCAGGGCCCCAACACCATGGCACTGAAGGACGGATCGGGCCCGCAGCCGGCAGCCCACGGTGCCAAACGTTGCCTTCTGAACTGCCTAGAAACTAGCTTCAAACCTTGCTTTTCCCTGCCACTTTGCCTGCGTCGTCTTGCAGCTCAAACCTAGCTTTTCCCTGCGTTCCTGCACTGCCAACTGCCAACTTGCCTGCATTGTCTGACAGCTGGCTTTCGTGCGGCACAGCTCCGGTCAAGGGACCTCCTCGCAGGGCTAAAACACCATGGCAGTGAAGGACGGATTGGGCCCGCGGCCCGTAGCCCAGAGTGCCAAACATTACTTTCTGTCGCTCGTTTACTCTTGCTTCTGCATTCTTGCTTCTAACTTCTTGTTTCGTGCTTCTTTCGCTTGCTACGTTCGCTGAGACTGCCCCTCCTTTCTCGCTTCCTTTTTTGAGCTTCTTACTCTGCACCTGGCTTCCCTTTCTGTCCCCCCCTCGCTTGCCCCGCTACGTTCGCTGAGACTGCCCCTCCTTTCTCGCTTCCTTTTTTGGGCTTCTTACTCTGCACCTGGCTTCCCTTTCTGTCCCCCCCTCGCTTGCCCCTCACTTGCACTGCACAACACTTGTTGCTTGTAATCTCTTCTCTGACGCGCTCCCCCTGCTGTCGGCAGGGGTCGGCGGATATTCTTAACTTTACCTACATAATATTCCACATCATCTATACCATTTTCTGTATCACCCATATCACCTACATCATCTACATCACCTACATCGCTTACATCACCGACACCATCTACATCATCCGCAGCATCTACACCATCTACAACATCTACATTACCTACACCACTTACATCACCTACATCATCTATATCATCTACAACATCCACATCATCTACAACGTCTACAATGTCTACATCATCTATATCATCTATATCACATCATACATCATCTACAATATTTACAGGTGATCAGCTTCTAGGTAGCTCCAATAAAACTCCTACACTGCCACTCTTCAGACAGACTCGTGAGAAAATACTACCTGGTGAATTCTGATGGATGCAAGACGACTGTTGCAAACATGTAGGTCTGTACAACATACAACAAGCCTATACTGCAACCAAAAAATCAATGGTTTACCGGTTTACCATCATTTTTGACCCCTTACATGGCAATCTTGGTGCAAAAACATGGGATAGTCCCAAATTGTATTGTTTACCCATGCAGAAACATGAGATAGTCCCAAATTGTATTGTTTACACCCGTTTTCCCCATAAAATATTCCAACCATATCATATTGATAAACCCATGGCCCATAGTTGGTTTTATGTTGCGATTCCTGACTTCCCCACCGAGGCCCCGTTAGACATAGAGGTGGTCACAGCGTCGAAAGCGACTGATCTTGCGCATTTGGAGCCTCTGGAGCCATGGTTGCAGGCGGAGATGCACTGGTTGGGTGAACATCCGGAAGTTCTTCGCAAGAAGTTCAATTTTATCATGAAACACATTGAAAACTCCCCAAAAATACCAGTTCACATGCACATATATTTTCAAACAATTGAAATATAACCATATCTAAACATACAATAATGTTTGAACTTTCAAAAGGGTTTTTCTTGTTATTTTGTTGGACGTAGAGTGGGTAAGTGGCTGGTCTCCGCATGGCTTTTTGATCCAACTAGCCCTCGACGGAAAACCCAGAGACCAGCCCAGGGCAGAGAACTAACAATTGGAAATCATCCGAGATCTGGATGTTAAAAATATGGTGCTTTCCAGTATTAGTTCCATCAAACTGCAATAGCTAGTTCCCAAAAAAATATCCAGTCATGGTTCCCAAAATAATGGTGCAATAACTGGTGATATTTTTTTTTGGATGCTCTTAGTTCTATCAAACTGCACCTATCGAACGTCAATTGATGGTCATCCCGTCCTCTCGTGGACATGGAGATGTCCGAAGGGGATGGTCATCCCAAACACATGGAAAGAAACACAAAGGGATCAGCTGCAATGTATTTCATTTGTGCTGGAAACTGATGAACATGTTTGATGGTAACGCCATGGTTATCCATGGTTGATGGTAAGGTCTCGTAGTTTCATCCCGCTAATGTCCTTCTTAAATCAATGTATTGATAAGAGTTACGGTTTCTCATAGAACCACCCCTTCTTGGATGTGCATCCCACTTCGCGAATCTTAGGAAGTGGTATATAACTTTTATAACTTATAACCGATTATATTCCCATTATGATCTAAAAGATATCTAAAGCCTAATCCATTTTCTGGAATAGTCCATGAATCATATGAATCTGACTGTTATAAGATGTTATAAGATTGTTCCCCACAACCAGCCCTTGTGCAGGCGGCCTCTCCTCGTGCGCTGTTGTCACGCGTGGTGGAAACAGCACAGCTGGCAGTGGACATGGTCGCAGGATTGGGTCAACCGGTCTCGACCGCGGCTCGGTGAGGGTTGGGATGTGGCCCTGAAACATGAAGGAAACCCGGCAAGAAATGGGAAATTATGGGTTACCAATTTCTCGCATTATGGGAGAATTATTTGAAGATGCTATATTATAGCTATCATGAAGTAGTCATCTTGAATTTGTGTGTTTTTCTTGGTCATCGGAAAAAACACCATATGGTATTATGTTCACTATATATACCCTCAAAGTTGTTGATAATATGGTTTATGTTTATGGATGTTTATGGGGGAAACCGTTTGTGTGACGAGTGATCTCCCCGCCTTGTGTGATCTCCCGGCCCAATTTTCCTTCTTCACCTGCGGTTCAATGAGAACACTTCTATCATCTTCTATCTCAAAATTTCCTATAGATGCAGCTGTATGAAACCCTAAACATCCCTAAACTTGTTGTTTACCCTCTGGTAAACGTTTACATAACTATGGAACATCACCATTTTCAATGGGTAAATCCACTATAAATCACCATTTTCAATAGCTATTTTGACATAACCAGAGGGTAACCACCACTGATTTTTTCGTGGTGAATTTCTCCATCCCCTGAGGTCCCAGCTGACGTAGCTCCTTCCGCTGGGAAGGACGTCTCAAAGGTCCTGCAGGGCATCTGTCAATTCGTGGTAATTCTTGGCCATTGGCCGTACTGTAAACTACAATCATGAATATGTTATAAGTTATAATTTTTACATATGCACATATATATATATATATATATATTCAAGTACAATGCGGTGACACGCACACGCACGCAGTTTCTGACATGCCATTCTGATGGATTTGATGGGCTGTCCGCCGATTCATGCAGGTGCTCCACTCAATGTTCATGAGTTGCATCCCAATGTTTATTCATTGAGACCCCAGTAGCCGCAGTAACCTTTTCCCTGCTGCGAAACGCTGCAATTCCTGACCCCAGGTAGCTGCCAAAGACTCCAAAGATGACTTGGACACAACCGTCTCCAGCCTAGAGCCTCGAACACTCCTCAACAGTTGGGTGTAGATGTCTGATTACATGCTTCCTTTTTCATCCTTTTCCTTACTATCATCTTTGCATGTGTTTTTAGCATCTATTGATATCTATTGTATAAACATAGATGTGGATTTACCAACCATGCCAAAACCTATGATGCAATGCTATGTTTGGGAGGATCAACATGGTTAAATTTAACGAGCTGTTTGGCCAGTGTCAACATCGATTCACCGGCGCATCTTGGAGATGATCCCGGCGCATCGTTCGCAGAGTATTGATGTGTGTTGTTAATGTCATTAAATATTAGATCATCATATATGAATCATATTATATCCCAGTTTCTTCATGTTTCTTTTGTGTCTCTTAGGTCCCCAAAAGTCAGCATCGTTTCCCTCAGGACTTGCCCGCCGACTCCAAGGCCCAGGGGCCCCAGGGGCCTCGGGAGGACGAGCCGGAGCCGGCGGCGGAGGAATTTCTGGACGCCGAGCCAATGGCAGGCCGGCTGCGGACAGGTTTTGCGGAGGGTTTTGCAGGTGGGGATGCCCTTGAGATAGATCCAGCTGCTATGATTCAATAATATTTTATGGATGTTGATGGATGTTGATGGATGTTTATGGATGTTTATGGATGTTGATGATCTGGATTTTTGAACTTGGATCCACTTAGAATTTAGCACGCCTCGAAGAATTATCCCAAAAAATAGTGGAGATGCTTGCAACACACATGGAAATTCAGGAACCAGAAGCGCCAACACATCGCAGGTTTGACATGTGGAAAATCATCTCGTCAAAGCAACACGAATCCTGACCAGTTAGTCCACTGGTGCCAGTGACCTCCAAAATGCACAGATGTTCTGAGCCAGTTTCAAACTGGAACAGTCATCCGCGTTTCGCTAAAAAGGATACCGTATAACAGGAGAGACCATACTTTCATCCATTTCCATCCATTTTCATGAAACATCATGAAACTGTTTTGCGAAAGCATGCATCTTGGGCTTTGTGATGTTTTGCGTGCACCAGTCGATTCTGGGAATTATCCCCATCTTCAACTCTTCAGCACAACCATGTCTCTAATGATCCAAGTGAGATATTGTGGTCAGACAAGACCCAGATATGTCATCAACGATCCTCAGGTGGCCTTTGTTCATATTAGGCTGGTGGTTTTGACCTGTTTTACCTTCCTTTATATAATTATCAGGAAAAATTGAAGTGATCGAATTAACTAAGTCTAATTCAGGAACTCTATAACTCTTGCATTATTCCTGCCATATCTACCAATGCCAGGAGCAGCGGCCGCACCGCATCCTAAGAGCACCGGCGCCGCGGCCCTTCCGAAGCATGACATGCCCCTGTTCACTCCAGGTACTGGTGCTGGGGTTCCGCCTCCCAAGTCGCTGGCGGAACCCGAGTCCGTGCCCACGACTCCGGTGCAAGCCTGGCAGCTGGGTGGCCGGGGTCCCTTGCCACCGGACTTGGTCAGGGAGCCGATGGCCATGGCCATCGGTACCACCAGTGCCATCAGCGCCAACCTACCGCGTGACCTGTCCCCTGCAGTCGCGGCCGAGCCAAAGATGGAGGTTGCGATGACCGCAGTGCAAACTGCTGGCCCAACGTGCCCGGAGATTCAGAGCCCGGAGCCGGAGGAGCTACCAATGGTGTCGTTCCGCAGGTGGGCTGATGGGAAATGACGGTTGGGGGCATAACAACAAAGGCATGGGCTGGAAATGAGCGGAATATAATGATCATAGCACAGCTGGGTGGTAACATTGCGGCACGACAATGCGCCATGGGGTCAGGCAGAATCTAGACACAATGTAGGAGCAGCGTCACAAGGATTGGAAAGCTTAGCGTTTCAGCTGTGCTCACGTGAAACCTCCTTGCCCGGTACAGTACCAGGCAAAGAGCGACTTCGCCCATGTCTCCAGCATCTCCAGTCTGGGAGGTGGAAAATGAGACCACTTTGATGTCTCGTTTGGATGGATGGGGCGCCACACGGTCGCTACTCACTTGCACAGATGTGTATGGATTCATTCCACCAACGTCAACCAAAAATGCAAGCTGCCAAACGGCTCGCACTCACCTGTCAGGAGAAGTTCTAGACATGGAAAATGAAGTAATTAGTAATCAGATGCAATTAGCAAAGGTGTGCAAGTATGATATATATATATTTATTCAAGTTGGTAAGATGATATAAAAGAAGTATAAGGACACACCATGACACACACACACAAATTGACTATATATTTTACAAAATGGATCAACATACGTAGGTAACTACTGTGAAACATTTGCAGAGATTCACATTAGCTAAATCCAGAGAAAAAAACATGGGAACAACATGGAACAACACATCATGCCAGCGTATAACGATTGGTGAAACTTGAGCATTGCACTGGTTTAGCAAGGATCGTCCATGGGTATTTCCTAACAGCTTTGATTGCAGCAGAGGCATCCGGGGTCAACAAAACGTGGCATTTTGAATCATGTTCCTTTCAATTGGGAAATACCATCTGGTTATGACTAACATAGCCATGGAAAGATCCACCATTATTATAATAGGTAAACCATCTATTTCTATGGGCCATTTTCCATGGCTATGTTAAATAACCAGATGGTAATATGAAATCATTTGGCTAAAGTTCTCCACCTCTCAGGCCTCCTCGTTGGCCCCAGAAGCCCCGCTGGGCCGGCACCTGGACCTTGAGCCCCAGCGTTCCCAGCCCCCCTCAACGCGCGGGCTTCAGCGGCCTGGGAAGCACCAGGAGTACCATGACGCCACGACAGAGGCCGGCTTTCAGTGGAGCAAACTCTCTGTTTTCCCATGTTCTCCCAGTTTTTTTGGGGAAATTCTTCAACCATCAATTCAACCACCATTTTTTTCCATGTCTTCCATGGTTTTGACACCGGATGGGTCTCGTCCAAACGCAGGCTAGAAGACCTGGCCGCAGATGCCGGGCCCAAAGCACCCCCCTCGCCCGCACGGGAGCCGCGGGGGTCCCTCGCCTCGCCCGCGCGGTGGTCGGAGCGTCTCGACGTGAACACCAAGCGCCTGGCGAAGATCCTGCGGTCCTGTGCTATGGACGAGTCCAGTGATAGCAGCTGAGATTCCTTAGCTTAAGGTATGCTAAGGTGGTAAACCCAAGAAGCCAAGAATGCTTATACTTATGCTATCTTATACTGTATACGGCGCCTAGGGCCTAAGTGTTGAAACTATTTACAACTTACTGTAATTTTTGAATGAAATTTGAGCTGTTTGAAGAATATATCCATGATGCTCTGAATTTAATCCGAGCATTTTAGGGTTTGATCAAGGCTTACTGTACCTAGCAGCACGAACAATTCGTATTTTACACATGAGTTTGCCACATTAGTTGTGACGTGGTTTGGGCATGCCCGAAAGGCTTTCCAAAGGAGCCACTGAAGGTGATATACTGTTGGCTTAGGAAATGATGATCACAAAGCCAGGATTGTGGGTTTGAATGGCCATGCTCCAGATATATGATGATATCTGTCAGGAAATATTATAAGATATTATGAGAGTAACCTATATTATATCAAGATTGATGCTATTCCGTGCCAACTGGAAGCGGCGACCAGCGGAGACCGGATTCAGAAAGTGGATCTTTTGAGAGGCAGAGGGCAGTTGCAGGGTGAGACCCTGCCAGGGTTTGCTGAGAGGGGAGAAAAGAGAAAAGGCGATGGTGTTGAGACAAGAATGGGGATGAAGCCGGCATTTGGTTGTGTGGTTCTTGACAGGGGATTGGCCATGCTTAACACGAATTTGACATTTTTATCCCTTATCCCAGCTCATAGCTGTTGCAATTTGCCGTATAGACACGGTCCAAATCGGATTAAATTGGCCAATGACCGCCCCAAACCACTTATTCTTGAGGTTATAAGATGAATGCGTATAACCCCTGGTTCGGTTTTAATGATGTAGTTATAACATGAACTCTATGTTAAAAACCCGGTTCTAAATACGTAGACCAGGGAGGCTTACACATTCCCAAATGTAGAAAGTCCTGGAAACAGGCCGATGCACTGTTTCAGGGTCTGACTCGCAGGAGCCTCAGGTTGCTTTGGTGGATTCTGCTGGGATAATCAGGTGCAGAAACCTTCAGTGCAGACCTGTGCCCTTCAGCGCTGCTGGAAGGGGAAGCTGAGGTTTGTACCTCTTCGACATTTTCAAAACCCTTCGACCTCGCTTAAAGTCCACGAGCCGAGCGGTCGAGAAGAGGGGGTGGGGTGAAGGGATAGAGGGTCAGAGAGGGAGGCAAGACGCCAAGATGTACATAAAGTACTGTAAACTCTTTCCTTTTTCTTGGGGGGGAGAAGTTGAATCTATTTGCATATGATTTTGCAGCGTATTTTGTGGTTAGATTTCTTCATTTGTGCCATGGGCATCCCTGGGCTGATCTGCCCGGGGTTGAGCCCACCCTACTGATGGGAAGTTCACCTGCCGTAAGGTCCACCGAAAAAAACACCTGATGCACGCACTTTCCCGAACTATTCCGTATTTCTATAATATAAAATATATAAAGGTCCGCTTCTCATCAACACACCAGAGAACATGCAAGGTTTTCTCCTCTCAAGATTCGAAAGTTAAGCGGCTACAGGCTATAATTAGCTCAAAACCAGTTAAAAAGATCTTGAGTTCCCATCCAAAATCATTGGAGCAGGTTTTTTTGCCGTCCTTTTTGAACCAACAGATCCAGTCCAGTTCGATGTGGAGAAGTCCATAGAAATTGTGGATCATTTTCCCATGGGTTTCCCCATGGGTTTCCAACCCACGACTCAGGATCCGGCAGGCGGAGGAGGAGCGGCATCCGCTACCGGAGATGATCCCCACCCAGTGAGCACCTCAGGGGCCGCAGAGGGAGAAGTCCCAAGTGGTTGCTGTTCAGAGTGGACTCCAAAAATATAATACGAGAGAGAGAGAGAGAGAGATATGTATGTAATTATATGTAAATATTATATGATAGATTTGAGAGTCCAACAGCACAAAGAATATAGGGTTGTATCAAACATATTCAAAATATAAAAATAAAATAAAACCAGAGCAAACAGAAAAAGACAAACTAGAAAGCAAAAACAAGAGAAAACAAAATAAAAAAAAAAACAAAACAAAACAAAAAAAACTGAGGGAAATCCAGCTTTTTTTTTTCTTTTTTTCTGGTGATTCTTCCTGTCGTTTTTTTTTTTGTGATTCTGTTTTTGATTGTTTTTTTTGCTAAAATCAACTTTCTCTGTTGAAGCCGGCCTCTCAATTATATATAGATATACACACTATAATACATATACACACACAGACATAAATATATATATATACACATACATACATACACAGATATACACGCTCCAGTAATCTAATATTATCCAACCTAGTCTACTGCAATTTAGCACGTATATAGCAATAATGATAACAATGAATGATAGTTCAATATCTTATACATACATATGTATATATATATATATAAACACAATGATATGATCATGATAATCACGATGATCACGATGATGATGATGATGATGATGGTTGAACTATGGAACATCCACAATGTTTAAAATAGGAAAACCATCTACTGTATAAATGGGCAGTTTTCTATAGCTATCTGGGACCGATACGCTGACCTGGCATGAATTCCTTGCTGTTTTAGTGAAAACATGGACCCCAAAGAAACTCCTTGCCATGTCGAGCGTTGTTTCTAGCATGTGTTTCTTCTTGTTGCAGAGATTGTTTTTGGCAAATATTTTTTGAAGCCGAGATGCATTCCCTTCCAGGTGAATGGAACTAGCAAACTTTTAGTGGGTACCAGTCTTGAGAGCTGACTGCGAGGCCGAAATTTTCGAAATTTCTGGCCAGGGTGAGGTGATGTGAAGCGATGTGAAGTGATATGAACTTCTATGAAGTACCTTGGGGTAAAGTAAGGGTTTGATGTGGTTTAAAACATATGTTTTTTTTAACCATGGGTTTTCCACATCTTTTTGTATGTTTACCCCCTGGAAATTCTGAACTTCCTTGAAGACTTCCACCAATCCAAGGAGCCGAAAACCTCCCGCGGCTGAGGTTTATCTTTTCCGTCCGGGACTCTCAGCTTCTGGGACAGCCTCTTTCATCCTCTTTATAATATATATATACTGTATATATGATAAGAATAAAGATAATAACATATGTTGTATTTTCATGTATCTACTCTTTCATTCATTTATATACTGTATTTGTTTATCGTGCAATGAATGAACTATTGGTGGGCTGCTTGGCTCCACCAAGCAGGTTTCTTGGCAGTCTTGCATTGCTGACCGCCCTAGCTTCGAGGCCGCCACCTATGTCCATGTTGGCCCCTTCAGCGAGGGAAATATGCTGAGTCCCTGCCATGTTTACTGTTTAACACGGCCAAGGAGTTCACAGACCCCTGGTCGATTGCTAAGCAAGGGTCTCAAACTAGTGGGAATTCCTGTCAGGAATACATACATTCCAAACTGATCCAAACTGTGCAAATGTATAGGCTGCATAATTCCCGGTTTTGGATCAATAGGGATATATCGGCCAGTTGTATCAATATATCCCAATTGTATCTCCCAATATATCCCGGTTGCGGGGTCAAGCATGCAGGGATGGCCCCCGCAGCCGTTCCACCTTCTTGTCGAGCGCGCGCAACGCGGTTCCATAGGGCCTTGTCGGGTGCCCGGCCCCGCGCGTAGGCATGGCATATCATGGCATATCATGGCATATCATGGCATCATGGGGTCAGCTACAGTGGAGATACTGTACATGATCTGTCTTTGAAATTTACCATGTTTTACCATCAAGAAACGCCACTTTTGGGATGCCTCCCTTTGAGACAAAGCAAACTGTCCTGTTGAAATTCAAAAGTTCCCCAGTCCATGTTTTCGATATGTGTCGGGAGGGCCCCCCATATGTGGCCTGAAGTTTTAGTAGCATAATTGTGAACATACTCAAGTCCAAACACCGTGAACCAACTTTGAAGCATGGGGAGTTGAACTATCATTGGACCAACCTCTGACGTGTTGAACTGTTGTCGCGGAGTTTTAGCACTATTGTGTTTGATTCTCTGCAGCGTTATTCACCTCAAAACTTATGTCGTGGCAGATCAAACCCGTCAAAAAGCAAGTTTTTCTGCTTGCGTAGACAGTTGCCGGCGAGTTGCCGGTGCTTGATCAACTTTGGATTCACAGCCCTTCCAAAAAAGAAGGTAGCGAACTTGAAGTCCCAAACTTAGGTTGCAAAGCTCAAGACTTCACAAATTACAGTCACTTTTCATGGCATAGACGCGCTGGACGCGGTGTGCAAAGTCGCGTTCCGGTCGCCCTGTGAGCCGAGGCTTTCTGGGCCCTGGGCAGGTCCAAAATCCATCCAAGTCGGGCTGTCTTTTGGGGGAAATTGATGGAAATTGTGGTTCAAGATGGCTCGAGTGCTGTCTTTTGGGGCTAGCTCTGGCATTTTACTTTTCCTATTTTTCTTCCTGCGTCTACTTGCCCAAAAACATTTGCTGTTTTGATCCGTTTATGTAAATAATCCCACTGGCTACCACTGTATTGATTGGATTTGATTGGGGGATATGGGAAGTATAAGCCATGGCCCTTCATATTTGGTAGGGCCCATAGGCCACATGCAGCAGCCTGCGGATGACGGTGACGCGCAACAGGGAGAGCTGCCGCCACCTAGCCGTGGAAAACTTGGGGAACAGGGTAGCTACGGGCTCGTGGCCATCCCAAGGTGTAGCTATGGTGCCTTCTACCCACTTGTAGGTTGAATGAAGGGTTCAAAATGGTTGTTTAACCAGCAAGAACCAAATGTGAGAAAAGCTCTGCGGCCATGTTTGACTTAGTCCTTTACTATTTTCTCAAGCCTTTGTTTCGTCTGACAAAGTTTGGGGTGACATAGCACTCCTGCATAGTGACGGAACCTCCCAAGGACCGTTCGAACAGCTGCGCGCGAGTTGGGGCTGCTGATCGTTTCTAAGCTAAAACCGGGCTGCTTTTGGGGCATGTTTTGGAGCTCCGCAACTTCGAGAGTCGAAGGAATCCCCGCTGACTACTTGTACTATAAAATCAGGTTCACAAAAAAAAAAACAATCATATCTTGATAGCGCAGTGAACAACAATTCACCATAATTCACCATATTATCATATCTTGGCGTCCGAAAAAGACCCATTTCTGACATGTCATGACATGTCTGGTGGCTTAACGACTGGTCCAAAACCTGTTGAAAGTATAGCGATATCATGCGATATCGCTGCTATAGGTAGTGGTGTTGCTGCTTTCCTGCGATGAGCTGAACCCAGTGAAGGCGCGCGGATGGTATTTTTTTCTGACCCGACTTAAGCATTCTTTTTTGACATTTGGTTGAGGGGATGATGCTTCCAGATGACCCTTTCAGTTGCATTCCCTGCATCATTTCTGATCTTGAGAATGTCCAGGCTTGCACGGGAAGATGATTGTTGATGAATTATACTATGTTTCCCAATTTTTCATGGGGCAGTCCAAGCACCAATCAGTAAACCATAGTAAACTACTTGCAGCTCCTATGCTGCGTCGCTTCCAGAAACCACACTTGCTGGCCAAGTGTGATTTGTGGCATAGATCCATGAGCGCATGGAGTTACAATGATGATTTATATTTAGAGTTTAGATGGTTCTTAAGAAATATATTCAACTTCTTGCATGGGAAACGAACTTTGCAAGGCGCACTAGTTGCCTGCAATGCCCTTCCCTAGGTCCTAGGAAGGTGTTCTCGGTGAGATTTCTGGGACCCTGGTACTCTGGGATGCTGAAGAAAACATCTCCTAAACAGCGGCGAGTTTCAGCCATTTGCTGGTGAATTACAATAGATCAGCCAGATTGATATCATTAATAACATCATACAATACCGTAATATCCCCATGATACCATCAATATACCATCAATATACCATCAATATACCATCAATATACCATCATTGAATCACATCTTCGCATTTTTCATCATGGTTCACCTGGTTCACCCCCATCACATCTTGGCTCCAGCGGCTTCCATTGCCAGGTGCTATGTAGCTACACGAGTGGTGTCATCGGTGTCTCAGAGGCGTGGGCTCCGAGTACCAAGGAGGCTTGAAGTGGCTCCTAGGTGCACCATGCAATCTGTGGGCTTCCAAAAAGATCGGAAGGCTTCCGTTATCACCAAATTTTAGTCGGAGTTTTACTTTCTATCCTGGATTATAAATGATGTTTTATCCAAACATATATCTGGTGGTTTCAAACATTTTTTTTAATTCTCCATTTCATATAATTATGGGATGTCATCCTTCCCATTGACTTTCACCCCATGATTTTTCAAGATGGTTATTTATATTGCACCACCAAACATCTATGATCATCTATGGCTTCACCGGCTTCAAACATCGCTTCACCATTGATTTCCTCATGGTCACCAAAAAGAGGTGCACTTTTCCGTTTCCGCCGCGATCCTCTTGGCCGCCTTGGGGGTCAACCAGCGGGACCACATCCTCTACACATGTGCTAGGAGCGTGTCACGACCGTTTCACCGTTTCGATGTCACCAAATTCAGTGATGTGCATGCGTATAGACACGTATAAATACATGTTATATAATTACGGTAACGACATTTCCAATATGTGTGGAGGGCGGGGAAGACCGAACAGGCCCCGGAGGTAGTATGAAATACCAGTTCGTATATTTAAATGTAGCTACATGTAGCTACCGTATGTTTAAATGAATTGGATTCCGTATGTTTAAATGGCCGGGCGGGCTAGGGAAAACTTTCCCAGAGGTAGTCTAAAATTCCTGTTCGTATATTTTAAAGTCCGTATATTTAAATGTAGCTACGTTGTCGTGGTATATCATATCATGTATAATTTTATATAATAATAATAATGATAATAATAATAATAATTATATATATATAAATATAAAATACATTATATTATATATGTGTGTGTATGTATAGTGGAATGATGTGGAATGTGTATATATATATATGTATAATATAGCGATATCCAGGGTACTTGTTGGCTAAATATCTGCAGTACAATAGATGTGCAGACTGGATGGGTTGCAGCTTTCGGGTGGTGTGGTGAGAGCAACTTTGCGCCGTCTCAGTCTGCAGGATGTCAAAATCACCACATCCACATCAACTTACTCTTTGACGTTTGCCACGGCCACCACAGGGTCGTACTACAGCGAACGAGCCGTTGTAGTTTTGCTGGTCCTTTCAATGGATTTTTTGATTTCAAGCCAACGAACATCATCATCCAAATATTGATCACACTGTTAAACAGGGGATAGTTTTATCATGTTTTATCATGTTAAACTCGCCAGTGAAGCTGGCTTCCGGGCGCCCGTTGTTTTCCCCGTGACCAGCGCAGGACCTTTTTTCGATGCACATTTAACAACATCTTCTTCAGCTCTGTGGAGATCGTGGGCCTGGAAAATCTACCAAAGGATCCATAGCTTCGACGAGCACTCCGGGTGGGTGGGTATAGCCGCTATAGGTACCCTCTGGTAATTTAACATAGCTATTGAAAATGGCCATTTATAGTGGATTTTCCCATTAAAAATGGTGATTTTCAATAGCTATGTTAAATTACCAGAGGGTAATCAACCTGGATAGGAATTCCAAGATTTTAAGACGAAACATCAACAAATCGATTGCAATAAAGAGGCCATGAGGATTTTCCAGGCAGATTGGAGAGTTCACGGTGCCAGGAGGGGCCGGTGATCATCACAGGTAATCACAACAATCAGTGGCTTGGAACCAAAGCCCGGCTTTTTGTAGGGCGGGGGGTCTTCATTTGAGTGCCCAAAATCCAATTGGATCCAGTTGATAGGATGATCATAAGAGTTACCTATATACTTATATACCGTATATACCTGTACTATTTCATACTTATGTTTATGGGAATTATGGGATTGTTGCAAGTCATCGCACATTGTGGTAACCCATACAATAAACCAGCCAGTATAACAGATATAAAAAGGGCATGGCCCAATGGTAGTGTAGAGCTGATGGAGCTGTAATCGGAGGTGCTGATTCTGGATTTGTAGATCTGGAATTAGAACAGGGACTTGGAAGGCAATCCAATACCTGGTTCATAATGTGTGTGGACCTATGGATACCTATGGGAATATTGGGATGGGATGGTGATGAACACCCATTTGCCGGCCGTTTTCGTAAAAATGGTGCGATTTATTGGTTTCGCCCCAGAAACGTGATGAAGAACGTAGGGTTTTTTTGGGGTTTTAAGCATGGTTTAACGCTATGCTTTTTACCGGGTTTCTTCTCAGAGGCTTCAGCGGGCTTCAGCTTGGCCGAGGTTTGTGGATGGTTTGATGTTGCTGACCAACTGTCCGCGTGAGATCTCTTTTATGATTGCGCAGCCACTGGGTCTAAAAAGAGATGTCGGCCGCTGAAAATGCTGAAACCATCCAGGTGCCCAAAAAAGTGGCCAGAGAACTGGCTGCCACGGGGATGCATGGATTGGATCTTTTTAACTAAAGTTGCATCACCGCAACTTTATCAGTTATTATTGCCTCTAAATTCATTATATTCTTGATTTCTTCTTAAGTTTGTTCCAAAATATACAAACTACGCCACAGTTTTTTTTGTTGCCTCGTGGCCTCGTGGTGAATTTTGCCGTGGCCCAAACATGCAGATCCCACACCCCACGGCTTCAATTGGAGGAGAGATGGACCGCACTTCATCAAACAAAAAAAACATGTCCAAAAATCATCATAGGTATTCATATAGGTATAAAACATATGGGGCATACATGGACATACATTATCATATCTGAGAGTTGATTTCATCCATGGTTTCTGCCGAGGAAGTCTTGGGATCGTCCACTGGTCGGATTCCTGGCGCGCCTCGGCATTGAGCTTTCCTGGAGGGCAAACTTCAGCGATTTTTTTTCGATGGTGATCTATGGCGAAAAAATAACCCTGAATTTTGCTTCGTTATTTCTAGCTTATATGTAGATAATCTAGTGGTAGAACCAACCAGAAATGGTGAGAACAATGGGAATATAATGGGAATATAATGGGAATATAATCTGATAATGTGGGATATATAACCAACAATTCGGGTGAATTATAGTCTGGTTGAACCTATGGAAAATCACCATTTTTAGTTGGAAAATCATCTATTTTTCCCGATATGATCTATTGCCCCTGTTCAATTGCCAGAGGCAATACATTCCCGTGGCTGGTTGAATTCGAATGACCTAAAAAGGTCGTAAATTCCGTTGGAATCATCGGGTCGCTGCCTTGATGATAACAGTTTATGGTAGTGGAATGGAGTGGATGTTAATGGATCTTAGGGATCCAGCCCCCCCACCGGTAAGCCGTCAAAACATGTCAAAACTAAGGCTTTACTAAGGTTTGATTTTTTTTTGCCATGATCACTAGCGGCACTGGGCTCATTCAACCATCTATTGTTTGGGGGCCAGCTTTAAGGTGGTTTTTTGGTTGAATATCCAGGAATTGTAGTCCTGTAGTCCAGGTGCATTTCCACGCTGTTGAGCACTTTTATCCTGGTTGGGCTGTTGGGCCTTCCAAGATTTAATTTTTGCATGTCTAGTTTTCAGAGGTGGATTTTTGGTGCTGCTGGATTTTTTTAATTCTCCCTGTTTCTTCAATCTTGTCACGATCCTAGATGCATGATGATACACGCACCATGATGCCCATCCTGGAAGATGTTCTGTTCAATTCCATCTGAGATTTGAACCAGTAAAGTCTGCGGTATTGGTATCATTGCACAACACAAACCGACCTGGTTATATCTGTTATGTAATGTGATATTCGCTTCTAATTTTCCATATTGTCCTAATTAACTTTATTTAACTTTCATTTTTCAAATGTTATGCTTTGAACGTTCCGAAGCGATTCAGAAAAAACAACAGGTTCGTGGGCTTATCAATGACCAGCCTCCAGTGTTCTCATGGCTGGCAGATTTTCGATGATGGAGGTTTTACCTAAACCTTTCTTGCAAGAAATCCATAGAAATCCCAAATCCTATTGGAAGCAAAGGGGGTAGCAAAGGGGGGAATGACCAGTGGATTCGCAATCCAATGTTGAAGGTGCAAGACTATGGAATGCAATCAACAACGATGCGGATGAGTATGACTCTTGAAATATGGCCGTAGGCCCACTAAGGATGGTATTGTTACTAATTCAATGCATGTCCAATAATATTAGTGAATCTGATGTTTTTGTTGTTCGAAGATCCCCAAAGATGACGAAGGCTTTTGCATCCAAACATGAGTACATCTTCGATCCAAAGATCCTGGAAGAATCTTTTTTTTTAATGAAATGATTCATTAAACATAGAATACCACCATTAAACATTCTAATCTATAGTAATTCTATAGACATTATATGATCTTCTACTTGGTCTAGATTTGTATACCCTCTGGTAATTTAACATAGCTATTGAAAATGGCCATTTATAGTGGATTTACCCATTGAAAATGGTGATTTTCCATAGTTATGTTAGTTTACCAGAGGGTAGTTGAAAATCCCCAGCCACAAATCCTGCAAATTGACACCAGCCGCCTCGAAGAACCACCTCCGAGTCTCCGAGGCGCGCCTTTCATTGCATTCCGGTGGCTCGACCCCAGGCGGGAGCAAAGGAGGGAGCTGGAACGTGAGGACCATGGTGATTTCATGGTGATTTCATGGTGAAAATATATGGATTAGACGTGGTTTAAGAATGGTGATTCAATGGTGAACAAATAATGAACCATATTAATGCTGTTTTCATCCCGTAAATGGTGATTTCATCACTATTTTATGGATTTTCATGAGGAAATCATGGTTTATCATGGTGACTTGTTGGTAATGGATACTTCATGGGATCATTTTTCCATGTTAACCCTGGAAAATGGTGGTTCGACATGGGTTAACCATCAACAATGGAGGTCTAATTTACATGTAATGGGGATACCCTCTGGTAAACTAACATAGCTATGGAAAATCACCATTTTCAATGGGAAAATCCACTATAAATGATCATTTTCAATAGCTACGTTAAATTACCAGAGGGTATACTGGAACTTCACCTACTTGGGGATGCAGCTGGGGGGGGATGCAGCTGGGGGGTGATTTTTTCGGGTGAAACCATGGCAGCAATCCACATAAGTTGGGTTTTTTGGGGCCCTTTCTTCGAGAATGCGATATGGTTCCCCAAACAACTGGGAAATCTGGGAAAAACCCATGAACTGCATCGTATAACTGCGTTTCATCCGTTTTCAAGGCATTTTCAGGGATGTTCTATAATTCCTGTCGTGCCTGGCTTGTTCCACAGTTGTGTGTTTCACCCAATTTTTGCACCCTATTCTTACTGTAAATGGCATGTTCTACATTTTTTTCCCGGGGGTCACCGCAAGAAAACCTACTGTAATGAACTTATGTAAGTACCCCTTGCCTGTTGGCAGAGAAATTAATCATAGAACAGAAGATGGACGAACATTTAAATTAGGGTGACAAAAGTACGGTTGATTTTCAGTACTCCTTTGTCATCCTTTTTTTGTTCTTTAGATCTGTTGACGGCTGTTTGTAAGTAGCAAATTGTTACCCATTTTTTTTTGTGACCCCTTAATTAATCAACCAGATGCGATATACACACATAGCAACTCCCAAACATGTCTACCGGGGTGGGCATGTATGTTTATTTATTGCTGGCTGTTTACTGCAGCCTTTTTTGAGCGTGCCACTTTCACACATACTTCCGTGCTTTGGTCCGTGGGAAGGTTTCCAAAGAGGTACTTGTGTGGGATGAATGGGCCAGTGGATCGACAGGACATGGCCTGCAAGGGTCAAGGAACCATCACTTTGGAGGAAGGATCTGCAAATGCGCTGCTTGGATGCACATCCTGTGGGGGACAAAACTGTAAAGTTTCAGCATGCGGGAAGAAGCCCAAGGATATCAAAGGTCCTGGAGAAGCCATGTTGGCGTTTTTCAAGTGCACCCAGAGCTGACATCATGACATCATGACATCATGACATCGCACATCTCAGTCTCGCTCACAGGCGGGGGGTGGACACCCACTTTGGCACAGAGGTGGGTTGCTGAAGGGTATCCAAGGTTGGCTGGATGTTTGGGCCAGTTGTGGCATGGGAACGCTCGGGAACGTTGGGAACACTTACAAATCACAAGCACTGTATTTGGCAAAAGAGTGATGGCAGCAAGGGGGAGGCGAACATGTACAACTAGTGTCATCAATTCTGACAGCATTCCGATCTGAAAGTACCATGGTAAGAATATGTAAGAATTTGTTATTACGGTACCTTGGGGCTAAAAAAAGCAGCTCTGTTTGACTATCCTCTGGTAAACGTTTACATAACGATGGAAAATCACCATGCTATTAATAAGTAAATCATCATAAATCAGCTATTTCTATGGCCATTTTCAATAACAAACTGTTAGTTTACCAGAGGGTATCCCATCCTCCGCAGGTGACACCCGGCAGTCAAGTAGATGTCAAAGGCCATCCCAAGTTGTTGAAGGTCAAGGAGGCCGTGGAGCGCGTTGGTACCCGAATTGGTGGCTTTTTAGCGATGGAAAAGGACCGATGTCTGAAATATCAAGACCGATTTAGCTATATATAAACATGGCAATAGCTGCCATAGCTACAATGTCCAGAGGATATTTATCCCATGTTCTCCTTGCAAGGTATCTTAGGTTTCAAGTTCTGAGCAGAGGCCCACCCTCAGCAGCCCAGAGCTTTAATTGATACACACATATATATATATATATATTGACCACCATTTTGGATGATCAAACGCTAATTTTGATGGTCAACCCGTTCACCGTTATATAACCCCAATTTTTTGGAGAGTTCATCCATCTCACTCCCCCATGTTTCATAGATTTTCATAGTTTTAACCTGTTTTAGCCCAGGATTCATAGAATTGGATGATGGGAAAATTTACAGGAAAGCCCTATATTTGATGGTAAAAACCATGGTTTCCTGTAGATTTTCCCTTAAACCAATCCATTGAAGGATTAAAGCCTCCATTCTGTCGCTCTCAGAGGTGCTCAGCGCCACGGAGCTGCAGCTGGAATCTGTGGCCAGCAGCAGCCTTTCCGGCAGCTTCAAGGTGCACCCCAAGGTGCGATCCGAGGATGGCGACGGGAGGTGTATCTCCATGCCCAATAGGATCCATGTATGCTACATATGGTAACATTTACCATCAATATACCCCCAATGTTAGCATATATACCATACATGGATCCTATGGGATGGAACATGGGGAGCGACCACAGTTGGAGCTACAGAGTTTCAAAGGGCGACTTGATAGCTGAAGAAATGTCAACACGAGATTCAACGACAGAAGGTATTTTTTTTTCCAAAAAATATTGAATGCATCACCAGAAAACACCTCAGGATTTTGACCGACAACATTGTAACCCCTCCAAAACCAAACAGAGAATGAGGAGCTCACACCAACAAGAAGTGGGGAAATCCGATGAAATCAGTCCCAAAATCAAGTCCGATTTCGCCATTTCATACTGTAGTCAGTCGACAATGAGGATCTGACCAAGTCAAGTGAACACTTGCAGTTGGCGATTTGACCAAGTCAGAGAGCTGCTGTTTGGCTACATCTTGCCATAGGGCGACGAATCTCAGACAAGACGTCGACCATCAAAAAAACACCTGGCAGATCGTCTCAGATCCTTTTTCCCAAAGCTTTTCCCACCAAAACAACCCCCATCTTTCCTTAGAAAAAAGTGGTGAGGTCGACCAGTCCACCATGTACAAACAGGTGTCACTTGGCAGGGATTTTCCTGGCGAACTCACAAGTCAAGGCCTTTTCACTGGCCCTAGTTATGGCTGGTGGTTTGACATATGGGCTTGGGTCAAGTCACCGCTGGTACCCCTGTAGTTCACATCAAAATTTCGCTGGGATTGATGGAAGTTCATCCACCTAAAAATTGTATTTATAGCCATAGTTTCAACATTTTAACCCTATCACGATGACGGTCCCAGATGACTGCATACGATAAATGGGTGGCTCAGCCACCAGATAGTTGAGTCATTCAAAAACTGGAGTTAGTTTTGACCTTTATTTTGGATTGGTTATCCAGTGTAGACGATGTGTAAATCATGTAGATACCATTTGGTTATTTAACATAGCCATGGAAAATCACCATGTTTAATGGGAAAACATGGAAAACCATCTATTTCTATGGCCATTTTCAATAGCTATTTTGACATCACCGGAGGATCTGTTTTTTGTTTAACCTTTTCAAGGCTGAGATCCTGTCGCTGTCCTGGGAAGCTGAGGTATCAGAGCCTGTGCTCCGGACAGTGTCTGGGAATCTTTCCGGAAGGCGGGGTTACCGGCTTGGGCCCATTTTTTCAGGAGTTCCTGGCAAAAAACGAGTGGAAAAAGAAACAATAAGTGACAGACCTGTCCAACCCCCTGAAAGTCAGCAAGATTCCAAGATTCCTGGGTTTTGGGTTCTAAGTTGGATGGTTTTGGAAGTGGAAGGTGCTCTTCCAAGCAGAGAAATTTGCAGATTTTGGGCTGTTGAGTCTTCAGATACAATTCTTGGCAGCACTCAACTGGAATTACATCCTAATCTGGTGACCCGAGAAAAAACATGATACTGACGCATGCCGATACACATACCTTTATATATATATATATATGTTGTGCGCTTTATCATGTCCCACTTTCTAAACCGGAGACGATTTAACATGACATTGGATTTACAAGGTGGTGCCCAGTCATAATTTTCTTTATAACATTTTATAACCCCCAGTCATAAATTGATCAAACATTAACATCCATTAACATCATTAATAGATATTAATTGACTACAATGTGGGGCCCCCCAGTTATAAGTTGGTTTATAAATCCCATTAACTATAGTTGTAAGTATCATAAACCATAGTTATTGGAGTTATAAACCAACTTAGCTATCTAGGGGGCCCCACATTGTATGGTCTATGGCATATCTACGAGAAAGCCGATAAATTGGCCAGGTGGCAGCCACGATCGCACAGATTTGCTGCCGCTGAAAGCGGGCGTGGCCGTGATCGCGTTGGAAGCGCACAGTGGGGGGCGCCCAGCGGATTCCCAGCGGAGGGTCGGAGGATGATTCTCTTTTAGGTAGCTGATCTTAGGCATGATATGGGTATGGATCAATACCTCTTAATACCATTTTTAGGAGGATGAACATCCATTTACCAGCTATTTTGATGTGAACTACAGGGGTACAAGGTTTTGACACACTGCCATATGGAAATCTTCTGGGGAGATTCTTGGGGTATATATATAATTATGTATAATATTTTTCACGATGTAATTCATTGAGCAGTGGGCCTCATATTGGTGCTTGATGTAATTAGGGGTCTCATGTTCCCATTTCCACCAACAGAATTGAAGCCTTGCCCCAAATTTTGATTGTTGAGTGGAGTATGTGAAATTAATGAACATGGTGTGACCGTGTGACCCACGTCCAATTACATAAACAATTGCTGGTTTGCACCTAGATGGCTTACAAGGCTTATATATATATATACATATATATATATATAGATAGAATTATATATATATATCTATAGATATATAGAAATTATAATATATATATATGAGTGTGTGTGTGTGAGTGTGTTATCCGAGAAGAGGTCGAGTGCTAAAAAGGTTGATTCTCTACTGAGATTATCTACGACTCGCATCTAGAGGAAACCCAACGGATCATACATATCATATGCTGATTTTCTGGCCTTCTGCACAGCAACCCCCACAAAGATAGATTTCGTAACATCCAATCCTAAAACCTTCCATTTGTTTGTTGGGTATATTTTATTTTGAATGTTGCATGCGAGGGTGCCGCCATGCATCCGGTGTTCACAAAAACTGCCATTCTTTGAGGTCTACATCATCTCAACGTTCCCATTGTCCCAGTTGGTTTGAACTACTTCCGTGGACATCAGTGCTCTTGGCTGCATCAGTGCTCTCTCCAGAAATGGCAAGAAGATCCATGGTGACTTGAACAATGAGAGTCGACGATTCGCAGTGACAATCCCCATCTTGTGGCTTATGAAACCATTGAGTCTCAAACTTTGAAAGTTCAGACAGGAGACAATGCAAAAAAGAAGGCGAATCTGTGAAATCTTGCCGTAATTTTTCATTCTTGTATATTTGTATGTATATGCACACAGATGCACACCACACACACACACGCGCAAACTGTAATATATATATATATATACACATCATAATAGTATATTGTTTCTCCTGCTATATACTGGGTTTCTTTCCTGCGATTTCCTGACGCTTTGACTCCAAAACACCGGGCTTACTGGGCTTGTTGCTCAGGTTCGGTGGGAGAGTTGCCGCCTAGCTGCGCTTAGCTTTGACTGGGGATGGTAAATATAGCAGCCTTAACGGTGATGGAAACGCTCCGGGCCTGAGGTGGTGGAGTTTGGGGCGCCCATCATGCGCCTTGGACTTTGGCTGTTTTTTGGGGGATAGTTTTCCAGTTGCTGTAGGAAAATATGTGATCACGAACTTCCATATGATGATGATGATGATGATGATGTTTTTTTTTCTCCTTGTAAAATTAGAATTTTGAAGTGCCAAGTTGGATTGCTTTCTGAAGATTTCTGAAGGGTAACTGTCCAAGAGCGAGTAGCCAGAGGATGGCCAGCCATACCCTCCGATGCATTGCAATGCTTATTTTGCACCCACGATGCAACAGCGGTATCAGCTAGATGGAAGCGACTGTATACAGGCTACAAACGTCTACAACCGCTATTGGCATTTCATGATCTCAAGGTATTGAGGAAGTTCTTTTACAGACCACTTGGATCGCGCTGTCGAGTTTTGTCCTAGCCAAGGATACCAGAGGACTGGAACAGGGGGTCGCTGCTCGCTGAGCTGCTCCCTTGTCTTGACTGGACATAAGACTTGGACGAGATCATTCAAACAAGAAGATCGAACACAAAGGGGATGGGGAAAATGGACAGCTTGCCCAAATATCTCTCAGCACCCAACATCTTTTGACATCAAAATATATCAAAATCAGCTCTTCGTAGCTCTTCATCCAATTTTGGCACCTCGATGCCGAACTTCACCAGCTCCATGGGTTTGTTTCTGGATCCATGCCATTGGTGGTAGCATGTGGTAGCTCTCCTCATATCTGATCACAGCACCAAACTGCGGCCATAAAAGGATCCAACCCGAAACGTTGGCAGATTATTTCGGACTATATATTATATATATGCACATTTAAGATTTATATAACTATATAATATAACTATATAACTATATAACTATAACTATATAACTATATATTATATAATTAACTATATAAGTATAAGTATAACTATATATATATAGAAGTATAAGTCTACATTTATAACTATATATATATGTATAATTATATGGATAAATAAATAATAAATAAAAGAAATATATCTATACACCAAACTACACACACACAGGTGTATATATGGGTATGGATCAATACCTATAGATACATTTTTAGTGGGATGAACATCCATTTACCAGCTATTTTGGGGTTCACTAGGTACCAGGGTTTTGACCCATCCCCATATCTATATATACACCAAAACCATCCCGACAGGAGATCCACGCGAGCTACGAGACGAATCGTCGCGAGGCCACCGAGGAGCTGCTGAATCTGGTGGCCGCAGCCATGCGCAGCGTGCCGCGGCCCAAAACCACAGGATGTACCCTTCCATCCTTGCCCCTATTGTGATATATATATATATATGTATATATATATATGTAAATATATCTATATATATATATATCTATATATGGGTAAATTATAACGACCTCACTGTTCTCCCTCACTGGAATCATGGTCAATAAGGGAAATCATCCCCAAATGGCCGAACTATTCAGGTTAGTGAAATATTATAATTTACCCATATATATATATATATACACCATTTGGTTATGACTAACATAGCCATGGTATAGATGGCCTATAGAAATAAATGGTTTACCGAACTTAAAAATGGTGGATCTTTCCATGGCTATGTTAAATAACCAGAGGGTATATTTATATATATATATGAATATTGTAGTCCATTGCATAGTGTATTTAATTTTCAATGGGCATGTCCCATTGACATACCCAAATGGTGATGTATACAGATTAAAAATACTGAGAGTCTGAGCGTGGACATGAGTTCAGTAGTTTTGAATAACATTCCATTCCTAAATCACTCACATGTACTATAAAATAAACGGGAACGGGTATAGTCAGTGTAGTTCAATATTTTACATTTATGCACTTTTGGGGCCATTAACCACAGGGAAACTGTGATGGTTGGAGGGTCTTTGTTTTTCCTTCCCAAGCTTGAAAGGTTGTGATATGTAGTAAAACACTTGGAACTATCAATTTGATCACCCAAGATAAAGGTACCTCTTGGGACGGCGATGGCCTCGTTTTGTGGCAGAGTTTTGGAAGTCTGGACTCCCACCAAAACATGCAAGCCAGAAAGTCGGACGGCCGGGAGTCAAACTGTGGTAGACTCAAAAGTCGGGACAACTTTTGAAAAAGAACCATCCTTCACAATCCCAAAGTTGTGTAGTTCAGTTGTTTCGTTCCTTAAATAGTATGCCTGAAGGCTAGACTGTTGGACAATATTTTTCGTTTAATCTTGTTGATCTATTTCCTTACATTAATAACTAATAACATCAGCATATATATAATTGTATATATATTATATATGACATATGTATTAATATGACTACATTTCACCAGTGGTAAATTTCAATACTGCACTGCAACATTTGTGAATGGATCCTGGAGACCGCCCATTCAGAGGTGATCATCCCTACAGAGGATTACAAGACGCTGCAGCAGATCTTCATGGCGCCCCCGGTTGGTCGAAACACCGAAACGCTGCTCCAAGTCATAGCGAAATGACGTCAATGATAGCCTCTGACTCAGGGAAAATGGATCATTTTACATCATTTTTTCGGATTTTTGAAAAATAATGAGCTAGTCTTTTGATTCCTTCTGTATGTTTCACTTTCGACTCAAGTTTGAGAGGCTTTACCGACCTTTTAAATTGAGCTGATGTGGCACTTTACAGATTTTTTCAAAGCTCAATTGGCCCCTAACAGGAACAGGGGTGTTTGGAGCAACCCTGAAGCATCTGGAACATGGTGCAACTGTGGAACCCGTAACTGGCTAATAAATTGTTCAGCTTTTCATGCGCCACACGACGGTGAAAATTATGTCGCTATGTCTGGATTTATTCCCGTATATGTTCCAATAACATCCAAAATAGTTCCCGTTGGAAAGTAATTGATCCAACCCCAACGTGTCCTGGTGACACCCCCCCACCAAACCATGCATGGAAAGCACAGGTGCGTCGCTTGTGGGTGAAGGAGGGTCTCAAACTGAGCCCTTCAAAGGCCAGGGTTGACAGGAAATGAATGGAACACGGATGGAAATGGTGGGTTTACCCTCTGGTTAGTTACCGGTTTGCTATGGGCACTCTTTATTTTTATTTTTTGGTAAGGCACCAGGTCTTTTCATCTAATGGACCATTTTCCCATAGCTATGTGAAATAACCGGAGGGCATACAACCATCAAACATCCTGGACTTAACCATGACAAATATGGATTCAACATGGTTCAAGCAGCCAAAAGGGTTGCTTAACCATCAAACCGGGGTTTAATGTCAACCCTGGATTAATAAACCCCTATGCTGTTTAATTGGGAGGGTACCATTTAAGTATTAGATTATGACTATTGGAGGAGTACCCCCGTAATTAATAAACCATGGTTTATTAATCCGGGGTTGACATTAATGTGAATAATATAATGATCAGAATGCGGATTTACTGGAATTTGCTCTACTTGGGGCTAAGGTTGGAGTTATTTTATGGGTAAGGTATACCTGTATAGCCATCGGATTACAATCCCGATAAGCTGCAATCAATATATATATATATATGATATATGTGTATAATCCGCATTATTGTCGGTTTGTTTGTATTGAAGCATCCGTTTTTTGAAGGTGGGTGGTTTTGATCCATATCCATACCCATGTCCAACAGGCAAGATCGCACGAATAGTGACTTGAGAATGACCAAGGTTATAAGGTTCGTGGTTCCTTTAAATCATGTTGACCGAAACCCAGAACCTCAGTGGATATGGTTATGAAATGGTGTATTCGATATGGTTTGTTTCATTTTCGTGAAATCGACATTACATCTTTCCATGCACATTCCCAACTTCCACCCCATTCTTTAAAGCTTGGTGAAATCAGTGAAATCCATACAGGCTTGTTGATGAACCCCTCTTTCTTCCTGGAGAAATCCACGTTCTTTTGGTGAAAGCCACGTAGTCCATAAAAGCATCACATTCTACTGGTAAAACCCCACGGGTTGTCATCATGTTTTGCAATTTGTCCGTTTTTTCCTATGGTTTTCGTCATTTTCGCCATGTTTTGCCCGGCTTTGACCCCTCGTTTTTTCCCGTTTTTTCCGGGTGTCACGGGTCCCGTGGCGTATCGTGGCGTCCCTTACGGAGGCCATGGATCTGAACCGTCGCTTCGCGGTGGGCGTGCACCGCATCCTGCGCCTCGCCGAGCGGGCGGGCGCCGATGCCTCGATGCTGACGCCAACGCACGAGCCACTGGGGATCCGAAGGGCGAACTTGGAACTGGGGATATTCCACTTAACTAATGGTTAAATCATGGTGATTTTTTTTAAAAAAAAAACGCACTCTAATTTGGTTAATGAGAACTGGGGATTTAGTGGTTTTTTAATGGTTGATGATGGTGCTTCATGATGATGAACATGTTGATATACCCTCTGGTAAGCATACAAAAATACATAACCCCTACCTTAAAAAATGAATCCAGGTGGACCGGTGGTTATCCAATTATTTTTTTCAGTTAATTTTGATTTGGGTGGTTTTTTTCGACAACTCTATATTATTCGAGGATTAATTTAAGTTAGGGGTACCCAAAATAAATTAGTCTGAATGCTTGAGAATGAGAGTGGGGCCACCCCGAATTAATTTGGCAATGTTTCGTCAAACAGCTCATGCCAGCTCAATCGAACTTGGATTATTAATGTTGCTAAATCTACCTGGGTGGCATTTACAAGGAAGAAAATGCGTTTGGAAAAGAATCTTAATTGATTGTTTTGCACATGATTTTGAAAGCTTTTTAAAACCATTGCGAACAAAGAAACCTGCAATTTATTTCTCATATCACCAACCATTGTTTTCCTCCCTCCCAGCTTGCGTGGACACGCATAAAAATTAATTTGGGGGTGGGTGTACTAGTACAGGACTCAATAGTTGTAATGACATACTAAATCTAACTGGGTGGCATTTACAAGTAAGAAGATGCGTTTGGAACAGAATCTTCTTGATTGTGCGCAATGAGAATTGAAAACCCAGTAAAAACCATCACACATAAATAAACACGCAATCCATTTCTTTTTGCGCCAATAAAGCTTTTCCTTTTTCCCAGCTCGCGTGGCCACGCGTAAAATTAATTTGGGGTGGGTGTACTAGTACGGGACCCAATGATTGTAGTACTGACGCTAAATCTAACTGGGTGGCATTTACAAGTAAGAAGATGCGTTTGGAACAGAATCTTCTTGATTGCGTGCAATGAGAATTGAACACCCAGTAAAAACCATCACACATAAATAAACACGCAATCCATTTCTTTTTGCGCCAATAAAGCTTTTCCTTTTTCCCAGTTCGCGTGGCCACGCGTAAAATTAATTTGGGGGTGGGTGTACTGGTTTGGGAATGTTTGGGGCCCCATGGTTTGAATCCGATGAGACTGCCTTAATTTCTTGCATACAGTGCCTCCTTCGGCTTTTGCTGGACGCGTTGAATCATGCGTGTGGGCTTGGCTGGCCTAATTGGAGGCCATATGTTCTTGAAACTTTGGATACCTTCACCCTACCTCGAATAATTTTGCTAACCACACCCCAATTAATTAGAAGAAATTATTGGGGTTTGCCTAACCCAAGAAGAAATGGTAGTTCCCCCACTCTTGAATAATTTTGCCTGAAATTAATTTAGGTGGTGGGAAGATCACCATTTATTACATCTAGGTGGGGGGAAGTGCCGCCGAACAAATTAATAGAGGTACCCTGAAGAAGTAAGGACCCTTGGGTTAATACTTGTATTAATGTAGGTGGGGGACCACTCTGGGGACCCTTAAGGTGGGGGTTATCAAACAACTCTGGAAAATATACGTAGATTTTTGACGGGTAAATCAACGAACTAAATGGCCATTTCTCAATAGCTATGTAACAAATTACCAGAGGGTAAGCGGATGGGAGTGATAGGTAATGGCTACACCATGATGTTAGCCAATGTCCTAAGATGTCCCAAGTACATAAGTTAGGTAGTGGATGTTACAAGTGGTCTACAAGTATGTAATGGATCACCATGGAGATGAGAATGATTAATAATGATTACATATTCCCATCCACTGGATGTAGGAATATGATTGGCATTATGTATATAATGGGTGGGAATATTGTACTACATCCGTTTGATCAATGGTGACATGGTGATGTGGGGATGTGACATGGTGTTATGTCATGGATGGGAATATTGTATATAAGTGGATGATGGGTAGAATCAATGAAACTACAATCTACAACCTATAGAATCACATCTAGTTCTTACATGCATTTACATGCTATATATGAACAGAGGTTATGTAGAATATACAATTATTTGCCCGATATTTTTTGTTCACTGCAATTCTAGAGGTTGACTACTGGATGATATAGAATTATATAGTGATTTGTAAATATCCACCATGATCTTACTCGACATAATGAATTACGTGGAGGCGAGCTACAATTACAAATTACAAATAGGGTATATTACACTATATATATAGAGAGAGAGGTGATCTTTAATTCACCACACCATACTACACCATACTATACGACAAAACAAACGTCGCATAAACCCCACTTACATGTGGTAAACCCAATGAACATCCCCCTTTTTTTTGTGGGGTACTAGTGACGATCCGTGGTTTTTAAGCCACATAGAGCTAGGGATATTCCATCTAACTGAGGTATGATTATTTTTAAGCACATAGGATTAACTAAACAATTACAGTATTCGGGATTGTCACAAGAAAATCCGGGGAATCCTGTTAACCAACTACAGGTATATGATCCCATCCCCGGTTCATTTCAAACATCCATGGTCTCAAATACGTGATTCCATCCCTCCTTTTCACCATGGTTTCTCGGGGGTAGTCAATTTTTTTGCTGGTTGGTGGTTTGGAACATGAATTGTATTTTCCCATTCAGTTGGGAATGTCATAATCCCAACGAACTCATATTTTTCAGAGGGGTGGCTCAACCACCAATCAGGTTAGGGATGAAAAAAACCCAAGCGAGATGAGGATTTCACCAAGAAACATGGTGGCGAATTGGACATTTGATGATAGAGGGACACATAACCAACAAGATTAATCAACAAACAAACTAATAATCAACTAAAAATCGCCATTGTTTCCAACAATTTATGTGGCGAATCACGGATATTTGTGGGACAGGCCCCCAACTTCACCAACTTAACATCCATGGTTTCGATGAGCTATGACCTCACTGGATCCTCCTGGTGAAAGTGTCCCATATTCAGAAGCAAAATCATCCACAAGTGAAGGTGGACCATTCCATTGAACCAAGGCCCAACTTTGAACGCTACTGTAGGTTGCATCTAAGGTGCCAGCAACCACTCAACTCCAAAATTGTTGGTGAGATCCCTATTTTTGCAGGTTGAATCCACATATTTGTTGGTTCTCTCATGTGGGTCGTTGAACCCCCAATTTTGGCTTTAGTGGTTCTCCTCATGTTTGCTTGAACTCCAAGGGTTTTCTTGGTCTTTTGGTTGAACTCTCCTCATTTGCCACGTTCAAAACGCTCTGCATTTTTTGTTGTGTCTTTTTTCTCCTTCCACCATTGTCCACTGTGCTAGGTTGGAGCAAACCGATCAGGCGGGTGAAAACCAGGAGCCGCTCAAGGAGGAGGAACTCAGAGAGTTTCAGGAGAGCTGTTGAAGGGCAGGGTTTTTTTCGATGTTCGAATGGGGACTTAACACCATTAAAATGGGACCGGAAGATGGACGACCTTGTGGGATTTGAATGGGATTTCACAATATTTAACAGAACAATCAACAATGGGAATAATATTGGCTACTGTAGACTGTAAGTATTGGTATATATAGCCGAATATAGCCTATAGCATCCCAAACATTGGCTTGTTGCAAGGTGGTGCCGATTCGTAGGCGACAAATGACTGGATTCGTAGCAGATATATCGAACTAGTTTTTTTTTTGGGGGGGGAACTGTGGAGTACCACCAACTCGTACCTACTGTACAGAAAATCTGGATATATCTGGATGAAGGACCGAATCCTGCTATCACTGCTTAGAATGCCATCAGCTTCCAGCGGTGCCAGAGGAGATGCGAACAGAGCTCGAAGAGCAGCTGGCCATGACGCTGGCGGGCAAAAATACCACCAACAAAAACGGCCAATGTGGTGGATGAACCAATTTCGAATATTCCAATTTGTGAAACATGGATCATGGATCCTGGATGCTTAGGTTTCAAGTGGGTTTGGCACAATATGGCACAATATTGATGATATTGAACCTCAAATCCAAAATGGTTGATCATCATTTTGCCCTAAAAGCACTGAGAATTTTGGGACACCGGGGCGGTTTTCTTCTTGGCCGACTCGCCGAGCCTGTCGGCATGGTCCCATGGTCCCAAGTCTGGTCTGGTCCAAGGTACATGCGGACTCTGAAAAAGCTGGGCATCAGAGACCACCAGGCCGCGAAGTCATTGGATCAGAGATGACAATGAACCATAACCCATGACGGATCCATGGTGCTGGTATATATATGCTAACATAAAGGGGCTATATTGATGGGATCCATGTTACCATATATAGCACCATGGATCCTATGGGTAATGAAGCCTAGCTTTTTACCCCGGCCCTGAGAGATCTGAGAGGAGGCTCAAACTCCTAAGAGGTGATGTTTTGGCAGAGCAACGTATCCTCATGCGCATGTGATGTGATTTTCCGAATTCTCTGCTCGGGATTGGGTTCCTCCTTGACAAGTGGTGGCAGCGGTGGTGGCATTACCTTCTGGTAATTTAACATAGCTATTGACCATCAAAAATGGTGATTTTCCATAGCTATGTTAGTTTACCAGAGGGTACCCAAACTTGTCATATGCCAAGTTGGTTCAGATTTCAGATGCCTTCGTCGTTGGGCCCTCCTGTGGTTTTGGACCATTCCTGGACGCCCTTGAGGTGCCACAACTTGTGTGGTGGACGGTGGGGGATCTGATTGGCCGCTTCTTGTACCTGCTGGTGCCATGGCAAAGCATTGCCACACAGCAAGTTATATATATATATGTATATATTATATACCTATAATAAAGTATATAGGTCCATTATACTATACCAAGTTGGGTTAATTATGTTTGGTGACCTTGGTGGTGGACAGGTTGTGGATGCGTTGTGGATGCGTTGTTCAGCTTGAGATGGCGTGATTTGGATTTCCAGTTGGGTTGGTCAGAAAGAAATTCTCAGATGGTTGACCCAGGAAGCCGCAGAGAGAGGTGACCACCTGACTGTCATTGTCCCAACAAACAATGGCATGGGATGGCATGGAGAAGACCCTGTCCCTTCAGAATATCTCCGGATGCCTAGACGATCGTCCCAGGGCCCCACCATGCCCCACTGGCCCAGAATCCACAAGAAATCGAATCGTCCACCAGACGTGTGGTGATGTTGGCCATGGTATACCATGGTATACCCATCATCCTAGGTGACGTTGGCCTTGGGCGTGATCCCAAATGTCATGCCGCTCGGCAATGGGTCGGACTGTCCTGGGTGAAGAAGATGTGAAAAATGGCTAACGTATGCTAACGTGATGTACAGAAATCTGCAGTACTCACCAAGATTCACCAAGCAAAATGGGCAAAAATGAATACTGAATACTGGTCTAAAGTGGATGCCTCAAGGGCTGGATGGTGTTGAACCACAAATGCGTTTGATGTGATTCTCCTCCACCAGTGAAGGATCGCCAGGTGAGATGCCTCACTTTAGGGATCACAAACCCAAATGATGCACCCATGAAAATCAACATATCATATAACCAAATATAGCCAAATATAACCACACCCGGAGGAAAAAAAAACAGGCTTAGGTCTACTATAAGACATATGTATATATTATAATATGTATATATATATATTATATATATTATATATGTATATATAATATTGACCTACACACACAGATATATATATATGATGTTTCGAGTTTCACGTTCAATTCGAGCGTTTCATTGGTTCTGGGAGAATTCACCAGGTTTAATTTGCCCATCATGATCGTCTCGTCACGCTTCGCGGTGAAGGAACAACAGCCGCTTGGTCAGAAAACATGTTTTTTTTTGGAGCCCAAAAGAGATAGAACAGTAAGATCCTATAAGATCCTACCAAACTAGTGAAGAATTGCTTGTCTATCTGATCTATCAACGTTCAACCAAGTTACATCACCTTTTCCACGGTCTTATGACATAGTTTTCACCAAAGATGGGCCATTCTCGGCATTTTGTGGAATGCTGGGGCTCAAGGCTCAAGGGTCAGGGCTGACCCAACGTTTTGAAGCACAAGTTGAGCTGATTTTGAACTTTTTCATTGCGTTCGTGTGAGCCATGTGGCGTTTGGTGATGTTGATGTGTGTGGCTTGCCTGGCGGTGGCGGATCAGAGCATCAGCGGTGGTGGCATTTTCATGAAGATCCAAGGCCCGCCAATTTCCCAAAAATAAAGAATTACCATTTGGTTATGACTAACAGTTTGCCATGGAAAATCCTGTATAAAATGGAGGTTTTATATAATGGAAAAATCATCTATAAATGGGTCATTTTCCATGGCTATGTTAAATAACCGGAGAGTATGCTGGTGTCCCACAGCGCAGGTTTTATAGGGCATATATTAGGCATATATAGAGCCTCAGTGCATTGAAAAGAGCACCTGAGCACGACCTTGAAGCATGGCTAAGTGGTGAGCCACCCTAAACAGCTTGTGAAAACTCGTTTTTGATCGTTTTTGGGCAATGTTGTAATCGAAGAAGAAAACATATAACAAAAGTGTTGGTTATCGAAAATAACAACCCTGCAAAGGGCAAAGTGGCAAAATGACTTTTGCCACCAGTGAGCCTATTGGATCTGCACCAGATCGGGTCCAGATTGAGATGTCGATGCTTCAGGAGCTAGCCAGTGATGGAACCGCGCTGGGTGGAGGAGGCAATGAGAAGCATTCCTTCAACAGCTTTGCCACCCAAAGTTTTACCTTCGGCAGCCCTGTGGCCAGCACCATTGCAGGTGTCTCAAGCGCAGGAGACAACGGAACAGCTGCCACACCAAAGGACTACAGCGTCACAAAGGTGGTCATGGGTCAAAACCCAGGTACCTTCCGTTCATTCCAAAATACCTGATATTTATGGGAGTTCATCCCCCCCAAAGCGTGGTAATTAGTTCATACGTAGGCTTTGATCCATCCCCTATAGGTAGCCTTCACCAGCTACTTGGGTGGTGGCAACGCCGCCGTTGACTCCAAGCTTGAGATTGAGTCCATCATCTTCATGGAAGATGCGATTCTCCAATTTGAGAACCCAGACGGGTCATACATCTACCCCGCCATTGTTGCTGGCACTGTGAAGTTCAACGTGCTGATGAGCCAGTGGAATTGGTGCGAGAACGACTGTAAGTCATCCAATGGTGTAGGTGACTCCGTCCGGTTGACCATCACAATGACCAACCAGATCACGTCGAACTCATCCGATTCATCGGCAGGGTCAGCTTGCACAGATGGCTGTGAGAACGGCGCTGTCGAGGATTTGGGAGGTGTCTTCTTGGGGGTGCTCAACACGTATTCCATCAAAACGAGCGATGGCACCGTAACCCAATACACCTTGCCGAAGAACCCCGAGCTGACAGTGGATCCTCCTGCTGGCTCTTCAGGATCGTCTCGCACCACCACACTCGTACTTCAGTTTCCAAGGACAAACTTTGGAGCCAACGACACGCTCATCTATGACCCGCTCCTGAGCTACTCCGATATCACGAAATCCTCGGAGTCAGGACCAAGTGAGCCAAGCCATGGCGCCTCACTGCGGGTCTCAGTCTTTGCCGCGCTTGTGCTTGCAGTGACCTTTGGATCAGAATCTTGATCTCTGGCTGTGCTGACTTTTGCATTGTGTTTCAAACCACATGATCTTCGTGTGAAATTCATGTGAACAACGCGCATCAAACGTTGAAGGCGTTGGTAGCACTCCTGTGGAGTGACACGAGCTCCACTGGGGTTTTGCCAGTCATCAGTCACCAACCATGTGCGGATTCACTGAAAAGAATGGACGTTGCATCTAAGACCTGGCTCTTCTGGCTGTCCAAGTCTCTTCTCCAGGGTTAAGTTCTTCGAGTTTGCTAGGGGGCACATATAATTCATTATAATTCCACATTAATTACATGTCACATACAGGAATATATACTGTATGTATATAATATGATTCTTATGATTGTTATGTAAGTATAAATACTCTTTCTCAATTGTCATTTGACGTTTGTTGACCGCCCCATGATGGCATCCCTATGATGGCATTCCGCCAAGGAAGTCTTTGAAGTCTTCGAGTGTGAAACTCGCTGCTCGCGATGTGGCACCTTGGCTGCCAAGGGGCTCTCCGGCATTCCCATGGAAATCCCACCAGGGTTGGATCATCCTCCACACCCACGGTGGTTGGCAAGTTTAAATTTTATCATTGGGCCATATTCTTTTTTTTCCCCACCTGCCAGGTGAGGGTTGTTAGATTTTATGTCAGTTGCCTCCTCCTCCTCCTCCTCCTGCCTCTCCTCCTCCTCCTCCTCCTCCTGCCTCGTCCTCCTCTCCTCCTCCTCCTCGTCCTCCTTGTCATCCTTGTTGTCCTTGTTGTCCTCGTCGTCCTCGTCGTCCTCGTCGTCCTTGCTCAACTGCGACCCGCGATCCACAGTGTTCTCTGCCGGACCTCAACCACGACCACCCACGCCCAGTGTTCCCTGCCGGACCTCAACCACGACCATCCACGCCCAGTGTTTCCTGCCGGACCTCAACCGCGAGTATCGCCAAGTGTTCCCTGCCGACCTCAACCACGACCATCCACGCCCAGTGTTCCCTGCCGGACCTCAACCGCGAGTATCCACGCCAAGTGTTCCCTGCCGGACCTCATGTAGGAAGATAAAATGTCAGATAGAGTGCCAGAAGATTTGCCAGGTAGAATGCCAGAAAATATGCCAGAAGATATGCAAGATAGATATGCCAGAAGATATGTCAGAATATTTGCCAGATAGAATGCCAGATAGAATGCCAGAAGATATGTCAGAATATATGCCAGAAGATATGCCAGATAGAATGCCAGATAGAATGCCAGAAGATATGTCAGATAGAATGCCAGAAGATATGCCAGATAGAATGCCAAAAGATTTGCCAGATAGAATGCCAGAAGATATGCCAGATAGAATGCCAAATAGAATGTCAGAAGATATGTCAGATAGAATGCCAGAAGATATGCCAGATAGAATGCCAAATAGAATGTCAGAAGATATGTCAGATAGAATGCCAGAAGATATGCCAGATAGAATGCCAAATAGAATGTCAGAAGATATGTCAGATAGAATGCCAGGAGATATGCCAGAAGATATGCCAGATAGAATGCCAAATAGAATGTCAGAAGATATGTCAGATAGAATGCCAGAAGATATGCCAGAAGATATGCCAGATAGAATGCCAAACAGAATGTCAGAAGATATGTCAGATAGAATGCCAGAAGATGTGCCAGTAAGAACATGTATAAATGTCATGGTGGGGATCACACGAAGTAAAGTATTTTTGATTATCCCAAATGACGGAGAGGGATATTCTGGGTTGGAAATGCTTGGAATTTCCAATCGGCTGCTTTTGGAGTGAAGCTAAAATGGGTGTCCATCTCAAGATTGCTGAGATTTGCAGCGGTGTTCTGTTCAGATAGATCAAATTGGACTTTAAATTTGGTGCGAAGCAGACGGGCAGACGGGGTCATGTGCAAGTATTCGAATCCGCAATGATTGATGATTTTGTTTCCTCATGTTTTTATTGTTCCATGTGACATCCATGTGTTTCCCTTTAAAACGATGCAGAAAGAAAACTTCAAAATGAGGGGATGGGCGATCTGGCAGAGTGTCCTTAAGCTATACTTCCAGCAGCATTTCATCACCATGAAAGAGATTATCCTGATATATCCAGGTTGGGAAAATCGTCGTTGGATTAGGCTTTTGTGGAATCTGGGGATATATGGGGATCATGGGGCACAGGTGATGTCGTACAAGGTGATCTATGTGCATCTTGGCACCGGGGGTGGGTTCAGCGCCGGAGCAATCCTCTAGAAACGTGGGCCTTTTTGGGCTCGATCCATGTCCTTAGTTGATCTTAGTTGGGACATGGAGGGACCAGTGATCCATGATTCACTGTAGATTTTCGCAGAATCACTGCAGGGGTCGATGGTTCTGGATTTTCCATTGTCACCCCGTTTTTCACGGCAGAAGTCCACATCGATTCTTGTGATGACTGAAGGCTGACCTGCATTCCGATCCTTTATGTACCTTGGCACTGGTATTTTGTTTGCACACTGCGAGAGAGGTGGCTGATCCAAGGGACCTTCTTCCAGGCTTCAGGATTTCGAAAGATGTATTGATTGGACATTCCGATGAATTCCATCTGCCATTCTTGGATGGTTTCCCCACCTGAACGGTGATACAGTAGATGATGGCCCAGGGCATGCCAAAGTGGCCCCGAAAAATTGTCCTCTATTTTTCTCGAAAGGACATCGTTAGAGAGGTTTCATGGCTACATGCTTTAGGATGATTTGGCATTTATGATCATTTATGATATGCACATCCTTTTTTTCCCGAATATTAAGTACCCCCTAAAGGACCCCCTGGTGAAATGTGTTGGGGTCCCAAAAAAAGGGTGGTAGTAATATGATGACACAAATTTTCACAGAATAGACATGGTAAATCCCCATGAAATCCCTATTGCTGGTTATATCGGCATGTGTTCAACCATGAAAACCCATGGGGCAGCGAGGTTTTTTACGGCTTGATGCTGTGGTGTTTCACTGACTGGACGCACACCTCGAGGGTTTTGTCTCTGCCCCCTGGCAGCAAATGGACCGATTTCCCATGGGGTTTTTCCCATGATTTTTCCAGCAAGGTGTGGGCAATTTATGGCTTAGGTCTGGATGGCTTGGCGGAAGGAGTGACCTTCCGGAAACACTTTTTCGCACGACTGAGGAAAAACATAGAGATACATTCAATATAAATATGAATATATGTATAAATATATGATATATATATATAAATAGTATTTTTACGGGATAGTAATTAATACTGTTCTTACTCCCCTGTAAAGTGTGCCCTGTAGTAATTGTATATTATCTGACATGTTATGGCTCAAGACAAAAACAGCGTGTGCGCTTTCTGGTTGATTCAGGTTGACATACCTATAAATATAGGTTATCAGCCGTATCGCCAGATACGTTCCCTTTGTAACTAAATGTCTGCCCCCTCTGGAAAACCATCTCCGGAGGGCCCGCGCAATTCCGGGAATCCGCAAGCCATGGCAATTCGGGATGCAGACGATCGCCAGACTGAAATCGACACAACGAGTCACATTACCTCTCAGACTCCTTCGGAACGCTCTCGGAGTGACAAACGTGAAGTCAGAGCCCCGCTCCCACCAGGCGCTGTTATGCCCCAGAGTGGAGCACCAAGGTTTTCGCACCGTGGCTATGATTATCACGCATCCCGGGAGGGCATGCCTGCCGGCTCACGTCATGTACAGTCGAACAAGCTTGAGGTTCACCATCATGAAATGACCGAAGTAAACAACACCATGAACCTTCAGCAAGTCCAAAAGAACGAAGTGTACGTGAATGCACATGACCCTGCGATTACACAGATGGTTGAGCAGGTTGCTGAGGCGCGCCATCGAGAGGCCATGGCCAACACAGAAAGCATGATGCAATCGATGGTGTCCGAAATGAGTGGCAGGTTCCATGCAGAAGAACAAGCTGCGAGTGCCCGGATGCAACAGATGATGTTGCTCGCAGAGAGTCGGGAGAATCAATTTCGTGAAGAACTGGCCCAACAAGGGGAAATGTACAAAAGGGTTTTAGACGGAAATGCCAGACAGTCGAATGCTACGAAGGACCAGCACATTCAATCCATCAAAGAACACTATGAACGCCAAGATGAACACCGTAGGATGCAGATGTCTCAGCTCGAATCCATCATCAAGCAACAGAGTGAACAAATAAAGGCCCAACAGTTGCAAACCGAATCCATGAATATGAGGATGAGTAAACTCATTGACACAATAGGCCCAATGCCGATTCCGATTGTCCAGACTGCCACTGCCGTCCTACCGCCGTCCACTGAGGTCAAGTATTCTGCTCCATTGCCGTCATTTGCATCAGCAAGTGCCCCCAAACCAACGGATCCCAACCAAGACATATGGGAGATGCTTGACACGGATGGAAATGCACCAGTGGATAATAAAGATCCTGTCACAGAGATAACCGGTCTTAGGTCCCCAACGTATCCACCAACAAGTGTTGCACCATCGGATGCCGGGGGGAAACCACCAGGACCTGACCCTCCAGATGATGACAAGGACTCGGAGGCAGATCGTGACAGCAGACGTGGTAAGGACAAGCGTGGGAAGAAGCCCCCTTCGGGGAGCCGACGCCCACCGGGAGGTGGGCCTGGGGACGGAGATGATGATGATGGAGACGGGGATGGGTACAACTCTGATGATAGTGACCATCGCTTCATTCGTCGCATGAGAGCCATGTTCGGTAGTTCCAGGGACCAATCACATGAAAAGAACAAGGTCAAAGAAGCCGATACTGTAAAAGTACCAGCCTTTCCCCATGCGGAGTCATATAGAAACTGGAGAATCCGTACCAGGGAAGCTGTAATGTCGGCTTCAACTGACCCTGACAAAGCCTTTGATTGGATAAGTGAAACCTGGAAGGAAGGCCAGACAATTGGTACTCTTCGAGACGTAGGCAAGTTCACTACATTGGATGCCAAGTTGCTTTCCGCACTCACCAACATTCTCACAGGTGACTTTGCGAGAAAGGTTGACACCTACAAAGAGACTGAAGCGACAAACCATCGTTATGTGAGAGGTCGACAGGTGCTGTTTATGATGCATGAACATTTCAGTACCAACATCAAACATGGAGCAACCTACTCACTGCAGGATTTGTTCAGTGTCAAACTCAAGAATGACAACCTACGTGGGTTCATCAGCAATTGGGATCAAGTAATGGCTGGTATTCCCAAGATTCCTGAGATTAGCATTCTGGAGACTCTGTTCTTTAACCAAGTCAAAACCAGTAAAGCAATAGCACACGACTTGCAGGAATATCATCGTGCTGAGGAAGGGACCGACAAGAAGTCCTATGATTTCCTAGTGACAGCAGTTCGCCGCTACTTGGACAGGGAGCGACTCGAGTCCAATCGTGAACGAGTTGCCAGGACCCTCGGTGCCTCGTCATCCAGCGCAGCTCCGGCTGTGGGTGAGAAGACTGGGTACATTCCAAAGGGATACTGTGTCAAATGGAATAAAGGTACCTGCACGAATGATGCCTGCACGTTCAAGCATGAAAAGCCTCCACCAAAGAAAGATAGAAGTCAATCACGACCCTCATCCGACCGTGGCAGATCATCATCAAGGGGTAAAAACGATAAGAGCAAGAAGAAGCAGCCATGCAAGTTTTGGAAACAGGGAAGATGCAACAGAGGCAATGACTGTAGGTTTAGTCACGAGGGTAAACAAATCAAGTCTCCTCGTGCTGCCACTCCTGCTAGGCCTTCATCCAATGACTCGAAAGGATCCAGACGGAGGAACAGCAGAAGTCCAGGAAAAGGCAGGGACCGCTCGCCAAAGCAGAAGGGATCAAGGAGTCCCAGGAATAGCCGCTCCCCAAAGGGGAATAAAGGCAGGCCTGATACTCCCAAAGCTTCCCCAGCAGCTGTCTGCCTGATTGCCTCGATGTTAGCATCCGTATCCAATGCATGCCTGTTGCCACCCATTGACGTGATCGGTTGCCCAGCAGTGACTTTCAACACCAACCATGATGTGTATCAAGTCGTTGCCAAGGGGGACCTTGAGCCTGTCAATCCAGCTTCAAGAAGATACAAAAGAACATTCCCAATCAACTATCCGTTTGAGTTTGATCGAAGGGACGTAGAGGACGCATGTTTGTCAGCGAACATGTTGGCAGGAGCAGTCAAGAATTCGTTAATGAACAATGTCTGCAGATGCAACTACGAATGTGACACCATGTTTGGTTGTGACCACTGTATTCCAAAGGGAATAGTTGCAATGCCTGCCAAATCTGAGGAGTACGTTGATGGATGTTTCGAAGCCTCTATTGATTGGATTGTTGACACCGGTAGTGCACAAGATTTACTCACTGATCACCATGTGCCAGACCACTATGGTTACTTTTCCGATAATCCAATCCGTCTCATCACTGCAAATGGGGAAAGTTCATCTATGAAGCAGGGCAAGGTAAGAGTCCCAGAGCTAAATGCTACAGTATCACCGTACCTAGTGCAAAGTTCACCTCCTGTTTTGTCAGTTGGTCTCAGGTGCGTTGAGGATGGGTTTGACTTCGTGTGGAGGGGCTCCAAGAATGAGAAGCCGAAACTAGTATCACCTGATGGGAAAGTCATTGAACTTGAAGTCAGAGACTATGTCCCATATCTATGTTCCAAATCAAATCAACCAAGTGTGTCCACAGTGGCAAAATCCAGCAACAATGGTTCTCCCATGAAAAGAGTGAAAGTGATGGCTAGTTCATCAGGGTCCGAGTCAGGTTTCATAGAAGAGGAAGATTCTCCCCCGTCACCAGACCTTTACGACGAAGAATATGAAGATGACGAACCCGCTGTTGTGGGTGGTAATTCATCAAAGATTGATGACGACCTTGTACCCGACATCTCAGGCGATCCCGGTGCCGATGCGCCCTCCGATGAAGAAGGCATTGCACCAGCTGACCGGGAGGTCCAGCCTGATGAGGTTGATGATTCAAGGGATGACGTCCGTCGTGACCCGGAAATGGAAAGACGTAGGGAAAGAGGTAAGGCTGCACTCAAGGCTGAAGCTAAGAGCAAACGACACATGCTTACCCATATTCCAAAGAATCCCTACTGTGATGTCTGCACAAAGGCCAAGATGTACAAGCCACCAGGTTACTCTAAAGGAGGATCATCCATGGTTGATGCAAAGAAGTTTGGGGACCATGTCACAGGTGACTACCTTATTGCCAAATCAGACCCTGAAACTGGTGTAGACGGAGATAGGGTCGCAATGGTATTCAAGGATGTTGCCACTGATTTTTGATATGTTTACCCCGTTGCACGCCGTGACACATCCAACACCACACTGGCAATGAAACATTTCGTTGATGACTTGGAGAAAATTGGAATCTTTTACAGTGATAATGCCCCAGAGATTGTAGCAGCTATGAGAGCTATGAAGATCAGGCATCAAATCAGTAAAGATTACATTTCAACATCCAACGCCATCGCCGAACGAGCCGTGCGGTCAACATTGGAAGGAACACGTGCTAATTTGCTTCAAGCAGGACTTCACCATGCATACTGGCCCTACGCTGCCAGACATTGGTGCATCATGCATGACACGGCACCAGATGGAACTGGAAAGGACACACCATGGAAATTGAGATTTGGGACAGACTTCAAAGGACCACTTATCCCGTTTGGATGCAAGGTGGACTATTGGACTGGACCTCGGAAGAAACCAAAGAAACAGATGAAGTTCGAACCGACCTCTGAACCTGGTATCTTCTAGGATATGTCATCCATCCCGGCTTCCATTGGAGAAAGGAATTTGCAGTAGCTTCTCTAAAGCAAATCAATGATGCAGATTTTGACCAATCCGTCACAGTATTGAGGGTGTTAAAAGTTTCAGTACCTGAGAAGATTGAGTTTCCCTGTCGCAAACGTGCCGATGCCATCCGAGACGGTAGCTTGAAACCAAACCAACTGTGTGATGAACAGGATGCATTGCCGCCACCGGAAGAGCAAGATGCTCAGCCTGTGCGGGAGCCAGGCCCAGTCAAGAGATCAATCACTGACATCGAAGCTGGACAGCCTGCTCAACAGTCTAGTGCATCCGCCGTTTATCACCAGGGATGGTTGGAATTTTTCAAGCATGTTGACCACAAGGAAGCATGGTACGAATATGCCAATTGCAAAGTGAATGTTCGGATCACCGACAATCAGTGTATAGGTCCATCTCCCGACTTTGATGCAGCCGACTTTCCGTTTCGAACAACATGCATTAAAGATGATGAATCATGGCATGTCCACGAAGAAAACTTGAAGATTGATCCTCCGGTCGAAGACCTTGAAAAGGACATTGAGGTTCATGAAGTAATCGTCACGATATTCTCAAAAGAACCGATCGACCTGAGGAACCGTGTGGACGAGCCCATCAGAGGAGCTGTACCTGATGCAGAGGTCGAGGCAATCAATCCGATTACGGGGGAGCTTGAAAGAATCAGGACTAATGACCCCTCATTCTATGACGCAGGTGGTTTTAAAGCAAGAAAGTACAAGAATTCAAGTAAGCCAAAGGACATCCCTCCATTTGTATGGCAAGCAATGTCTCAGAAAGAAAGAAGAGCATCAATTGCAGATGAGCAACGGAAATTGGCCCTGGAAGAAAAGGAAAAGAAACGCGCCAGAAGAGTGAAAGCTGTACCCATGATCGGAACTCTCAAAGAATCACCAAATGAATTGGAAGAATGTCTATCCTACGAATTCATCCCAGCTATGCCCGTTTGCCAGATGAACCCTCAAAAACATCGAGTTAAGTGTATTAGGCTTGGAATCCAATCTGGGGAGAAAGCCGTTAACACTTTGGTGGCTAGGCCAGTGGGGAAAAAGGAAATTAGAGCCAATCCCAAAGCCCAGCAAGCCTTAGATGTAGAGTGGGAAAAGCTGGTAAAGAAGAAGGCTTGGCAATATGAGACAGTGGCCGAATGGAAGGTCATTGCCGACAAGGCCAAAAAGACTGGGAAGAAGGTCCACGTAGGAAAGGTCTTTGAGATTTGCGTTGAAAAGGGAAGTGAATTACCCGAAGGAGATAAACTCCGAAAGTTCAAAGGAAGAACAGTATTCCAAGGTAACAATGTAAAGGACGAAAGTGCCGATGTTGCCCTGTTCTCGGAATTAGGATCTTCGCCCGCCACCATGGAAGCTGGCAAAGCAGTAGGTGCCTACGGAGCTCAACCGGGATTCATAACCCAACAAAATGATGGAGTACAAGCTTACACTCAAGCCTTATGGAAGGGCGTGGAGACATGGGTGGAACTGCCACCCGATCGATGGCCCAAAGAGTGGTATGGTAAGTTCACTAGACCAGTTGTATTGCTTCGCATCGCTCTTTACGGTCACCCCGACTCGGGGGGACTCTGGGAACAGTACTGTGAAGCCATGTTGAAACTAGTGGGCTTTATCATGCCAGACCCGGAAGGGTGGCCTTCGGTGTTTTTCCATCCAGAGCTCAAATTGTTGCTTGTCGTGTATGTTGACGATTTTAAGATGTCCGGCCCTAAAGAAAACATGTCAAAGGGATGGAGTTTGATTGCATCAAAGACTGACATGGACACTCCCGGGGAAGTCAATAGATATCTTGGATGCGACCATGTAGCTCAACACAACGTAAAGCTCAAGGTCGAGGATCACCCTTATGCTCATGTCTTTGACAAGTCACTGGCCGATCCGGCCGCGCCTGCCGCCGCCGCGTGCCACAGGACTCAGGATTTCTGGGAACTCGACACCGTCAACGATGTCTACATGAGACATCATGTGCAGCCAAGGAAGAAACTGTTTTTGCCCGATGAAGAAGTGGTTAAGTCATGCCATCTAGCCCCATTTAGGTTCACGAATGCAATCCCATGCAACAACAATGCAAGTGAAGTTGAGCAATGGGACACTATTGGAATCGGGTCCAACGTGAACAAAGGGGGTAGCCTAAATGACTCATGGGTTGGCACGACATACTTCTTCCCTACATCATGCAAAGATCCAAAGACTGCCATGGCCACCATCAAGAGGGACAAGTCCGGAGCCAAAAAGAAAGCTAGAGCGGAAGGTTTCTCCTATATGGACCAACTATTTGAAAACCAACCCTGCATGCAAAAGCCTGTGACTACTTTCACATATGATATGGAGCCTTTCCTGAAATCATGTGTTGAACGTTACATATCACTTGCTGGCAGGGATGCCAAGCCTTTGAAACAAGTTTCCACACCATTTCATGAAGAAAGAATTGCACGGCCCATTGCCGATGAGAAGGAAACCAAAGGCGTGAGCCAATAGCCGCAAGGGTCCTTATGAAAGTGCTATTTGCAGCCAGGATGGCACGTTTTGACTTGCTGCGAGCCGTCCAAGGCCTGGCAGCACGTGTGACAAAATGGAGTGCAGAGTGCGACAAGGCACTGCATAGACTTATTTGTTGCATTAACTCCACCCTGGATCACAAACAAAGGGCTTTCATAGGAGACAAAGTAAGTGAATGTAGGCTTTGGTTGTTTGCTGATGCAGACCATGCAGGGGAGTACGACAATCGATCCACCAGTGGTTGTTTGTTAGTTCTAGTTGGACCCAACACATACTTCCCGCTCACAGCATTCAGTAAGAAACAAACTGCCGTTGCAATGTCAAGCACCGAAAGTGAAGTTGTCAGTGCAAACGTATCCCTCAGAGCTGTCGGTCTACCTTCCTCCGGTTTGTGGGCATACCTCCAGAACGCGGGGGGGGGAGAGAACACCGAAAGACAGCATACCGGGAGGTTTGCCAAGGCATGACATTGAAACCCAAAAAGAATCCAATGGGGAATATTGGCAATTCATGAGAAGTAGAAGGTTGCTTATCCGAGTCCACACAAAACCAAGGTCACATTTGTTCACACCTGTTGACATGTCCAAGTCACTCATCAACCTTAAGCGTATCGGATGTGCTCGAACCACCGTGATGCTAAAGGACGGAATGGTTGACTTCATGCAGGACAATTGGAAGGTCAAAGTTGGCTACCCGATCAATGGGGAGTGGACTGGCAAGACTTTCTTCAGGGTTTATGGTCCCTACGAGTCCGACTACAACATCGAATCTGTCGAAATCCGTGAAGCCATCACCGACTACGAGTTCGTAGGACGTGAGAAAGAGGGAGAATGTATGATTTCAATGTTTTCCCCACGGTCGATAAAAGGTGTATTTGTAGAGGACAATCAGGCTACCATTAGAATCCTTGAGAACGGAAAATCACCCACTTTCCGACACACAGACAAAACACAGCGAGTTAACCTATCTTGGTTGGAGGAACAGTTCAAAAGAAGATGGTATAAGCTAGTCCATGGTCCAAGCATGCTCCAAGCTGCAGACATTCTCACTAAGCCATTTGTTAGTGCAGAAAAATGGAAACTAGCTGTCAAACTTCTTGCATTAACCCCCACCAAGAAGGTTACCCCACAGAAAGCTTTGGCGTCGGCATCGGAGGCCATCACACCTCCAATCATTGCTGCACCAAGCACGGGGGGACCCGCTGCCAAGTCTGATGCCAAGAGACTGATTGTTGAAGTTTGCTGTCATCCCGAGTCCAAACTCAGCCGAACCAACCGAAAGTGGTCTGAAGGTTGTGAAGTACTACAGTTCACTGAAGAATTTGATCTTAACGAAGTCGAAAACCAAATGAGGATTGCAGAGTATGTCAACTCTTTCAAAGGTGATGTGAAACCATTTATATGGATCAGCCTACCGTGCACGGGGGGTACACCATGGACATATATCAACATGAAAAACCCCAGTGCACGTGAAAAGGTTTTGAAACATGTCAGAGAGTTTGACCGACTTTGGATCTCCTTGAAATCGTTTCTTCGGATGTTGGACTGTGAAGTACACATTGCACTTGAGTGGCCACGAAAATGTCGGTACTGGAAGTTGACTAAAGTTGCAAAGCTTTTGAACTTTTATGAGATGATTGCATACCATTTTGACGGATGTGCTCTTGGAATGGTAAATCAAGACAACGACCCTTTGAAGAAGCCTTGGACAGTGGCCACAAACCATGCTGGAGTCGGTAAAGCATTATCGAAGTTCCAATGCACATGCAACAGGCGTCATGCACCAGGTAGAGGTATTGCACTCAAGAAAACAGAGGAGTACACTTTCCGCATGACAGATGCCATACATAAAGCTCTTACCCGACAGCATCCCGCTCTCAAGCTAACTTGCTGTGCACTCATCGCGCCCTTTCGCTCTCCCGTCTTCGTCATGTTGACTCGTGCAATCCAAATGGCTAAGGCCTGTGCGGTTGCCGGGAGGCCCGCCATCCTCGAACGCATCACCCAATGGGAAGGTGTGGTCAATACCCTGAAGGGAGCCATTGCGGTGGCGACCTGGGACGACCCACAGGTGCTCCTACGAGAGATGGAAGGATGCCGCCTACCCCTGGCGAATATCGTCGAGCCGATGCTGGGTGGAGGCAATGCTGAAGGGGCATACGACACGCTCGCGGAGGTCTACAAGAACACGCCCGATGGCTTTTTGGCAATGTGCCCTACCCGCCGGGAGGCGAGGTCGACCTGCTGATCGTATCAGACTCATCACTTGCTCTGGTACCTGACCCCAACGCAGGGAAGGCTTCGTGTTTTTCCGGAGGCGATCTTCTCAAACCCTGGGGAGACATCCGTGGCATATATACCAAAATGTTGTGGGGCAAGGGATTGAACAACATGGTCCAGTATATCCCCGAGGCCATCGATGACATCGAGTCCACCAATCGTGCACATGGTCGCCCGGTTTTGCCGGTGTTGGTCATCGTTGGGTGGGCCGGCAATGATGTGTATGGCGAAGGGGGTTACAGAGGTGTCCATTGGATTCACAGGGCTGCCTACAACAAATCTGCTGCCGACCGGGAGGTCACGGCCAACTGGTGTGAGCGGCAAAAGGCAAGGGTTGAGCGGTCCGTCAACGAACTGGGCCAGCTCAAACGTGATGAGCCCCGGATCCTGGACATCGTGGTCGTTGGGAATGCTGACGCGGACATCTTTGCTCTCCCGTCGGCCTACAACGAGACCATGCGTGTCCACATCAAGGCACTGCGCGAGGATCATGGTATTCAAACCCTGGACACTACCTTGATGCTTGCCAGGACTGTGAGATATGACAAGGTGCATTTGGAAGACGATGCCATCAATCGGAAGTATGTCACCAACTTCCTCCAGGCCGTCGCTGATTGCCACCTTGCCTACCTCAAGCTCATCAGCGTCGACGATCACTTGAGGACGCTCCCAAGAATCGAGGATCTCCAGGAGCAGAAGAACTACCCGAACCTCACCATCCTCAAGGCCGCGTACCAGCTTGAAATCGATTCGAATGTATCCTCACCACAAGATCTTCCTCAACGACCTGATCCTGAGAAGATCATGTTGGATGCAGACATCGAGATTTTCAACTGGGTGCTTCAAGCTGAGGAGAACGCCACAGCCTCTGCCGACCGGGAGGTCGAGTCCTGGATGCGAGACATTCCTGAAGAGGACCAGGCATTGGAACCCATGCACCATGACAACGCTGATTCGGACGATGAGGCTGTCAAGGTTCAGGCCCTCACTATGGATGATCGAATCCTGGCAAGGCGACAAAGCCTATCCGAGGAGCACGACCAAGAATGGCAAGATGCCACCTATGCGGCCGAGGATGAAGACGAGGACTTCAAAGGGTGGGACCTCATCGAGGATGACAAACGCCCGCCGGGAGTCGTGGCCAGTGACCCAGTACATGAAGAGGAAAAGGAACTGGACCTTGACGACCTCGAGACGGTGGCTTCGGTGGAGATTGTCGATGAAGAGGAGTTCCACGACGTTGAGGAGGGGCAGGCCGAGCCGATCGACGATGATGACGATGATGACATGGCCGTGATCGACAAGGTCTCTTCTATGCAGGCCTCGAAGTCTGATGCACGGGGGGACCCGGAGCCCATGGATGTTGATGATCAGGGCAACAAGATGGTCCAGAGTACGGCATCAGCGAAGACCTGGAAGACGGAAATGGCCCAGAGCTCGTCATCGGCAAAGACGTGGAAGACTGAAATGGCTCAGAGCACCTCATCTGCAAAGACACCACAGCAGCTGCGTCGGCGGGAGCCACGCCTCCTGACCCTACCTCCAAGCTCAAGCCCAAGAAGAAGGCCATGCCAAAGAGATTGAAGGTTGTGGATGAGGGACATGGGCCAAGTGCTGAACAGTTTGACACGTCGAAATTTGCCACAGCACAGGATCTGGTTTGGATTGAGCCGGACAACATGGCAGGAGTTCCTGTGCGCAAGGTGGACTACGGAAGGCTTAGCTCGATTTCCCATGCTATGTCCGACTACCTCCGTGGCCACCGATTGTTTCACAGGAGGCCTTCACCGGAAATTCGGAGGACTGATTTGTCTATGGACTTCAAGGCATTGGTGAGGCACCTCCAAGGAGATTTTGCGCATCTTCGAGAAGAAGAAGTACTGATGGTAGTGCGCAATTCCCCAATGCGTCGCTTCAGAGTCCAGGTGAACGGCTTGTCGTCCGGAAAGCTCAGGTGGACGCCAGTGAGGATCAGGGCCATTCAGGGCCATCGGGCCTTTCTCGTGGAGCAAGGGGGGATGTCGACCATGATCAAAAGGATGTTCACTTTTGATGAGAACTTCGACGAGACCAAGGTTGACGACCCATCGGTTCACCCCGCTTTCTCCGCGATGCCGGAAGGCTCGCCTGTGTGGCACAAGTTCCCCAGAGTGGTGTATCACACCTGTGACCAAGCCGCCTTCAATTCCATCATCAAGTTCGGCCTCATCCCTGGCGGATTCCCGTACAAAACGGGCAGAGCCCACAACTTTTTCAACTCCACTCCGCCCTGGAAAGCGGAAATGAAAAAGTTGCAAGGTACGCGGGCCGGGAGGCCAATCGCCATCGCGTTTGACATGGAGCTCATGATGCAAATGGGCTACAAACTTTTCGCGACTGACGAAGCCATCCTGTCGCCAGACTGGATCTCGAACCTCCCGATGATCAACGCCTTTGATATGCGTTCGGGCGAGTTTTTCTATATCAACAGGGCTTATGTCAACCATCGGAAGACTTACCAGGAAGTCCTCAAGCAGGCCAAGGCCGAGTTTGATCCGACGGACATTCTCATGAGCCGCATGGAGATGTTGATGGAAAACGCCCAGTTGAACTTCGAAGGCATCAAAGAGCGCATCGAGTTTGGCAAGCTCCTCCCCTTCTCCAGACGTGAAGACATTGAGGTCGAGAAGAGTACTGCCACCCGGGAGGGTGAGCCGGCATCAGGTTCTCAGCTGGTGCCCGGCTACACCGTTGCAAAGATGGCCGCCATGACAAGCACTGATGCATGTGGCTTTCAACGTCGTGGGCGGAATGGACCCGGTGGTGGGAATTGGAACCGAGGGCAAGGTCGAGTTGGATTTGAGTTGCAATTCAAGGACATCTCCTACAACCAGATTCAAGACTCGCCTCAGGTGCGCTGCAGCCATCCGATCTGCGGATACCTCATGATGGATGGGCATTTGAAATGCCCGAGGTGTTTCCGGCAAATGGAACCCGTGACCGATGCCAACATCGCCACGGAAGTTGCCCGCGGGGAGGCGATGGCCCGTACCAGAGGAGTGCCCTTTTCCATGGACAAGGTGATCTTCAACCACCCACGAAGAGGCAGAGTAGCCAGGCAGCCGGAGAAGGGATCTTCGTCTTCTTCGACAGCCGTCCGGACCAGAAGCACCTACGGCAACTTGAGAGACATGGCCCGCAACTATGTCAGATCTTTCAAGAAAAGGGGCTTCAAAGACCTTGTTGACAGACTCGTCCGCGACCTATTCTTTCAGTTCAATGCGGCGAATCAAAACTTGGTGCCGGAGGCCTTGCTCTTCATTGAGCGTTTGGCTGGCTGCGTGAGTCCGACCATTGAGCGCACCAAAGCTCAGGTTCTTGGTGAAAAGCTTGAGATGGCCACCAAATTGATCTTTGTGCCATCGTCGGAGCGGGAGCCCGACCAACCCTTGGATCTTCACACCGAGGTGTTTGTGTCGCATCGGGGCGTCTTTCTCGACATTGGCCAGTTCGCAGTCTATGTGGCGAAGTTCATCAAGCCGAAGCAAAGACCCCTACCCATTGTTTATGGCTGGGGCAACCGTGACTTTGTGCCTGATGCTTCGGATGCCAAAGAGATCGCGAAAGAGTTGGTGGAGTTCAGCAAGCTGCAGTGGTCGAACTATGCCTCCCAACAGACGCACAAGGAATCTGAAACCACCGGCGACGACCGGGAGGTCAGTCTTCCTCATGCAAGTGGATCCATCAGCCGACCTGAACATGAACGACCCCGTCACGAGCAATTCGAGCCGAATCTTGGCAAGCCTGCTCGCGGCGGTCCTTACGGTCAGGGATATGGTGGTAAAGGTCATCACAAAGGTGGAGGACAGACCAAAGGAAAGGGACAGCAGAAGGGGAAGGGCAAGCAAGGCAGAAGCCCACCGGGAGGTGTGGCCTACAGTGACTTTGAAGGAGCTTCCTACTGGGTTCAGGGCTACCGCTATACGTGGTACTGGAATCAACAGCGAGGCTGGTACTGGCGCTGGACCTGAACTATGGGATGACTCGCATTGACGCTTAGGTCATATCTTTCTTTTTCAAATTTGCTTGCCGGGAGGCATGCCTGTCTATGACAAACTTGGCAGGCATCGCACCCATTGAACAAACCAAAGCTTTGACGCACATTATGCATTATCCTATCCAAATGAACTTCAATGCACAAATTTCCGCACAGTTTGAATGAATTAAACTTTACTTCTATGACTTCTCAAGCCATACCATTGGATGTTCAAGGCAAGGGTCAAATCAATTCACACCTTTCATGGCTGTACAGTTTTTCCTGCCATGATATCCTCTTGGAGTGACATCACAGGAATGGTAATGTTCCTTCATTCCATTTGAAGATGCCTGGCGGGAGCCACGGCCATGCTGTGTGCAACTTCGAGCCCAATATCGGCGCAAAAGGAACATGTGAGTCTTTGCATTCGCCAGACGTTGCCTTGACATCCGCAAGACCCATGCCAACATGCATCCAACCTAGCTGTGTAGCTTTGAACCTTTGCGTTCACTCAGGTCTCTTTGCGGCGGCGTACTGCAGGCACAATTATACTGGAGCTGCCAAGCAGCTACAGTATACGGGGGGTATTTTTACGGGATAGTAATTAATACTGTTCTTACTCCCCTGTAAAGTGTGCCCTGTAGTAATTGTATATTATCTGACATGTTATGGCTCAAGACAAAAACAGCGTGTGCGCTTTCTGGTTGATTCAGGTTGACATACCTATAAATATAAATAGTAATATATGTATATGTATATATATATATATGCATAATAGCCCCAAAGCCTGAAACAATACTGCTACCCTTTCTGGGCAGAGTGAAACCATTTGTTTTGACTGGACCAACTGTTTGACTGGTGGAGTGATTCGGTAGCTGAGGCTCAGTCTGCCTATGTTCGCATTCTTTGGCATGAAGGTCGGGGAGAGGTGGATACAGGTCCGTTTCACCTGACTGACTGGCCGTTTGCTGAGCTAGGCCAGCGAGCAGGGTGTGAGAGCTTACAAAGACATCATGCCGCTCTTCAGGCCAGGGATGGACCATTGAAGTGAAATCCATTTACCCTCTGGTTATGACTAACAGTTTTCCTTATAAATGAAGGTATTAATAGGAAGATAGTCTATAAATGGGCCATTTTCCATGGCTATGTTAAATAACCAGAGGGTACAAATCCATTGAACGCTTTGTACCAAAAAATTGATCCCTTCCCCCCCCAAAAAAAAACAAAAATTCCCCTGAGATTTAGAACCCCCAAACCATGGTGAAAAGTAGGGAAAGTCCACATCAACTGTCCGATGATCCGCTGCCGCCTCTCCAGACGCCTGGTGAACGACGAGAAACGTCGTGAGCAAGACGCGTTGCCGGCCCAGCGTGCCGCTTGGATTGGATTTGTACGGAAAAAAATATGGAAAAATACATGGTTTTGTTTGAAGCCATGCCTCTCAACTCTTAATTATATAACTTATATCCGCTTATCATACTCCACCATCCCATCATTTATCTGAATTGTTCCCCGTAAAAAAGGGCAAGTTGGTGGACATAGCCATAGCCAAGCTCTGGACAAAGCCACATGGCTTTGGGATGATGATCCCTGACTGGTATCAATCATTGACCCTGGAAGAATGTCTACGTAAAGATTGGCCAGCCATTTGTGGAATTTTGTGGGCCCGGTGCATGGTCCTATTTTTTGCTATCACCATTGCCAGCACTTGCGAAAGCCAAGGCGAGACTGCGGCGACAACTTCACAAACTGGTCACATGGTGATGGGATACCCTTCTCGTTCTCTGTGTCGTTGATGGCCTTGATGGCTGGTGGGTTGACAAAGGGGTTCTCCTCCAGATTTTCTATTGCCATGCTGCATTACCGGAGAGGTAAACACTTTCAGCTCTCAGCACTTATGATTGGAATGCCTGACATCACTCGCCTCATTGGGGACCATTACTGACGATTACAGTACCGCTGAGCAGCCGTCATTGGTAGATGAGTCTAGTTATGATGTCACCTTTTCCCATCATGTACATGCATGTCCTGAAGTCTTGCCTGACCATGAATCTTACAGGAATCCATATGTTTCCATCTTTTCTTTAATTTTTCTTGCTATACTCGTATTAGCAATGTTATCAGACATACAGACCATACATATCTACCTACCATTTCCTACCCACATCCACTCATCTTTAACGTTTATCCAAGTTTATCCGATTACATCCCACCAGAATTGCGCCATATCCCTGTTTAGTTCTTGATTACATATCATTGAATCATACTAAATCAATCCAATCCAGACGAAAAAACATATCAAGTCATATCAAACCTTTATTTTAATATATATATATATAGATATACGTATATATATATAGATATACGTATATATATATATATATAGATATACATATATATATATATATCATGTTACCCCGCAGTAAATTAACATAGACCGGTTGGAAGATGAGTTTCCATTAGAAATAGAGGTAATTTTCAGGGTCAAACTGTGCATTTTAACCAGAGGCAGACATAAACCGATATAAATAAATCATCTGAAATCATCTCAAATCCGATCCGATCTGACCGGTGAAGAGCACCATATTATCCACATATTTGTATGAGTTGATGCTACCATATATAAAGCCAGGGATGGAGTCCAAAAAACCTTGTACCCCTTCTCACATCAAAATTTCGCTGGGGATGGATCTTCATGTCCCTAAAAATGGTTTAGAGCTATTGATATTTCAACATATTTCAACATATTTCAACATATTTCAACATATGTCAACATATCAATACTGTATCAATAATATCAATAATATCAATACCTCTATAACCAGACATATAAATTGAACATATCCATAGCCAGATTTTCACGATTTCATATTTCAACCCGGGATGACGGTCAGTTGATCCCCCATCGGACTCCGACGGAATCCGAGGTCAACACTCTAGGGCCGCGCCTGGGTGACCTCTACTACGACAACAAGGTGGTCCCTTGTCACGACAGGATGGAAAAACTGATCGTTAATACTAATATGGCAGTGTGTCAAAACCTTGTACCCCTGTAGTTCACATCAAAATAGCTGGGATTTATGGATGTTCATCCCAGTAAAAATGGTATTAATAGGTATTGATCCATAGCCATATTAATATTTCAAAATCGCCAGAAACAAAAGTTAAATAAGAAAAATAACAATATCTTTGATACTCATTTTTATAGTAATGATATGCAATGATTCGGTTCGTCATAGTTAAAGAATATAATGTAATATATAGTAATGATGCTGTTCCAAATTCATATGGTTACGGTTACGGTTATCAATATTATAGTTATATATATTCTATTGTATCACATCACATCCTTTTGATTCCTTTTGGCTGCATACTATGATTATTATATCCCTGATGCAAGAGGACCATGCTCAAGCAGCAAGAAAACGATCATTGACTGAGGAAATACGCATACAGTTATATATACTAATTAGCAAGGATGGACATAGTGATGATGGTTAATAATAGCAGTAGCAGTAATGATGATGGCTAATTATAGTATTAGTAGCAAAAATGTAGTAGTCATGATAAGAAACATAGTGGTGATAACATTGAAATATCATTCTGTATATTCTGTAGTGGTGATTATGTCGTTGACGATGTTTTTTTTTTTAAAATATTATGATTGTGGTAGAATGATTTTGCAATTGTGATAGCATGATACCATATCATATGGTAGAATGAGTTCATTGTAGTAAGCATAATGGATTGTTTCATTGGCTTACATACTTAATGATTGCGGCAGTGACATGTAATATTATACATATAATCAACGGTATATCGTGGCGTAATGCGCATAATCTTTGTGGTGCAATGATTATGTTGATTTGTCTCATGCTGGCTGAATATTCAAGCATGTCAAATGGCATCAAGCGGCTATGGATCAAACATGGGGGACATGGACGGGCCCCAAAAAAGCTAACTTTAATTTTGCAGATCTGAATCCAGCAATTTCTTGGGGCAAACTTTAATCACCAAGAAGTGTGAAGTTCATCGACCAAACATGGGGACATCGTGCAGAAACATGGGGACGGTGGACGGTGGTCATTTCAATTTTTTCAGTGTTCCATCCCAAAAATGATGTTCAGCAATCCCAGTTGCGTTTCTCATGTTCGGTCTGAAATCACGAATCAGAGTTGTGGAACTTAGTTTCTGTAATACTTGTTGCTGTTGATGTTGTATATAGATGTATATTAAGTTGTGGCTATGCTGACACTACGAAATCCCACTAACCCCGGGCAGACCGACCTCGCTCCGCGCTGAGGAATGGACGAAGCACATGACGAGCTTCGGCAAGGAGGATGGAAGCCGAAGCCCCAAGCGCGAGAACCAGTCCCGCGAGCTGAAGGCCTTGAAGCCAAAAAAGTGGGGCCGGAGAAGGTGATCTCCTTGGGGGTCAACCAATTATAACTATTTATAATTATTAGTTATGCGTTTGAGAGTGTAGAAGTGAAAAATCAATGGATTGGTTTGAGGGAAAATTTGGCAGGAAACCTCCTTTTTTTAATGGGATTTTTTTCTGGTTTCCTGTAACTGCAACCAATCCATTGAAAAAATGATCATGAATATCCAACATATCAAGATGCTTCCCGGCAGCGCCAGCGGGGTCCACAGTTCTTCTACTTTGCCGATGATGGAAGTAGACCAAAGAGTGAACAATCCTAGGCCCTAGGCCTTTGGGCTTTTGGTTTTGGGATGAGGCACGAAATTTTGGACATCCAACTTGAACACTTTGGTCCATTGCCCTTTTGGAAATGGTCACCTTGGCAAAGGACACTTCTGGATACAGTACTTGTTTCTTGGCAAAGAAAACTGACATTTCTTGAAATTTCGTGAGCTTCAGTATTTAAGGTCTTTTTTTAGCTTGACGTGAGATGTCCGTAGTATAATGTTCGCGGATCCATGTAAACATTTCAATCAAAAACTGAAGATGAATACCTAAGAACTGTATCTAAAACCATCTAAAATCTCTGAAATGTATATATATAAATGTTTTAAGACTTAAAATCCTGGCGTTGACTATTTACCCAACATGCTTGCCATGGTGGCTTTTGGTGGGGTGGGAACCCCGCACCAGGCTCGGAACTTACCAAAGGAGGAGGACAGCTGAGTCAGCCTCCCTGCGGACGGGACGGATGGTATCTGCATAGTATGCATATAATATATATATATATATGCATATATTGAAAAAAAGAAAGAAAAACATGTTCCTATGAAGTGAGTTTAATTTTTCCCATTTGAGCCCCAACCTTGGCAATCAGATGATGATGCCAATTGGCGAGCATAGGTTACAGATGGGTGGCTCAACCACCAACCAGGTGTACTATAATGAATTATGAACTATATCATATGCATGCATGTGCATCTTGACCTGCTCGCTTGCCAAACGGCCAAACAAACATACGGCCTTACAGGAGTCCGAGTGAAGTAGATTGAGAGGTGTCATGCCGAATGGACACCATATCATTCATGGTCATTATCTATTTGCATAGTATTAACTGGATTCACAGCCCCCATCGGTTGGTTCAAATTAAGGGGACACCTTTCTTACATTCATATTCTTACAGGAGAGCATCACTTTCTGGAGGGCAACCCCCCTAATTTTCATCAAGGAGGATTTATCAATCCAGAGCTCACAAGGGGGTGAAAATACCCACATCATCCTTTGAAAAATATCCGCAAACCCCTTTTAGGTCGAACAATTGGAGACCTGGACATATGAGCTAACTACCACTACCCTCTGGTAATTTAACATAGCTATTGGAATAGTGATTTATAGATTTTCCATAGTTATGTTAGTTTACCAGAGGGTAACTACCATAAACTACCATGAACTACCATCCATCCCTTCCCCTCTTGGGGATCGCCACAGATGGACAGAAAAAAGGATGGAATCTTGGCAAAGGCTCCGCCGAAAAATGCATAGCCAACCGACAGCTGTGCAGCTGGAAGGTTCGTAATTAAAACATGCTGCTTCCCTGGATGAGCAGCATTGGAATCTCTGAGTTATAGTACTTATAGATAGTTATAGTATGTAGAAATATGTAGATGTTTTAAGCCTGGTTCATGTATCTTTTAATTGCCGTTGGGCAAGAGTTCCACTATCATCGGATGGAAGCTGCGACTCTAAACTGATGGTTTGGCCGACTTTGTCCTTGAATCATCAGGTACGGGCCAGAGTGGTTAGAACAGTTGGACAGCAACCTGCAAGAATTCAAGAAAATTCAAGACATGCAAGATACTTTTCATTTTGCCCTGTATTTTGCACTTCCAATTTCCAAACATGTGCTGTTGGCATGGTGCAGTTGCTCCTCATTCTCGTGGCAATGATGGGTGCCATGAGCGATGAACCTTGCGTCACCACTTAGTAAAGGGCGCCCGGTCTGCAATGCTTTGAAACGCATCCCGTTGGTGCCAATCATCTTTTCGAGCAAAAAGTTTATGCGAGCACTTTGATGCAGTCAGCCAGGGTTGCCTATATATATATATATATCAGTATATTAATAAAAAATATGTATTTACATCATATGCTGGCATATATATATATTCTCTCTCTCTCTCTCTCCTCTATTTCTATTTATATAGGTTATATATAGGTTGAGACTATACACACAAACACACACACATGAATATATATATATATTATTATAGATACATGCGCAAAAATTGAATCCCATGAGCACTGACATGGACACGCAAAAAAGGAGCATTATTTTTCAGTTGAATGGTTGATTTCATGGGCGGGGTATCTGGCCACAGGTGCTACATGGAGAACAATCAATCTAATGGACCCCAAGAATGGTTGAGATTCGCTCCCAAAAATCATGGTTGTTGGTGGTTCAGATTGGCCCTCTTCATAAACCCAACCACGTTTGAGTCTCGAGTTGGTGAAATGAATTCATGGGGGGAATTGCTGTGGGGATCGAAGAGGCCATGATAAAGAAGGAGATCTTGTACGGTGGCTTCGCCCTTATCTGCTTGTACCTTGGCTGACCTAGTGGACGCTGGGAGGATGCCTGGTGGCTTGGTGATATCCGTTGATGCCGTTGATGTGTGAATTATGAGGGGCGCACTGGCGGACCTAAGGCTCGCAATTTCTGTGATCCCCGTTTTTTCCTGGCCCAGATAGGATGGTGCTGGGACCACGGGTTGGTGGGCGCGAAGGCCACGGGTGTCTGAGGCTTGTCTACTACAAGCTCGAGGCAGGTTCTGGTGGTCCTCCTGAAGTTCAACATGGGACCCAACCGTTGGGTCCAGACCCCTTAACAACAGCACTGCTACGTTTGACGTTAAAGTTTCCGCTGGCAAAACAACATGATAGAACATACTGTTGGTTTTTTTTGAAGTTTCATGGTTTTCAGCTTGAAACCGTTTATTCCCATCTGTTTCTCCAGACATATTCCGGACAGCCAACTATAACACTTCTGTTGGCTAGTGTTTTACCTGCTACAGTGTGTATAATTATATATATATGTTATGTGTGTGTGTAAATATATAACACATCTGTGTGTGTGTCCTTTTATGCCCATCATTTGGTAACTGTGCGATGTTTTTACAATAATCATTGTTGATCTATGCTTGTGTGCCTCGATCTGGCTTTGTCTGAAAACGGGGTGCCCCCAAATCCAAGCCTGTATCATCATGTTCCAATTAGAACTACCATTTGGGTGTATTTGGTAGGCCCAATTGTTGGACCAAGCCAAATGTCATACTGCTTGTCGGTTGTATATCCCATTCTACCCTTTGTAAATTATACAACATCATTCATCATTCCGGAAATGGCAATATTCATCAACCAACCAGCCATGAATCTATTTTTCATCCACGCATTGTTTGGGTGAAATCTCGGTTTAAAACCACTTTTATGTGGTAGATCCACTAATTCTAACAGCCTTAATTCATCACCATTTTAGATCCGTGGTATGTTTACCACATCATCCTTTATTAATAGAGTTTTAGTCATCAAACAACGCTACAATTGCATATACTTGATATTGATTGATAAATGGAAAACACACTATTTTAATCCACATCGTCATTAAATTATGATATATTATGAATTTGATTGTTATCTCCAACGCTTACGGCCGTGAAAAAACAACGCCACAGCAGTAAAATTGTCCGCCTCTCAAGCTGCGGAGGCTCCAGCAAATGCAGCATATGACTATTGGCTGACCTTGGCAGCAGGTGGGGATGGTGGGGGTGGGACAGGGATAACATGCTTCTCAAATGCGAGACTCATGATGGTTTTAAGCTACTTCTGTAGTGATGTTTTTTTAAGGACAAAATAAATCATTTTGGGAAAACATGTCACAAGTTCGTATTGTCCTACTACTGTAATATCTATGCTACATTCTACCTGTGGCTGGTTGTTTAGCACAGTCATTCGCCACAATTGTGCCCTGGTCTTGCACGATTCCTCCGCGCCTTTCTGGTGCATTGGGTAAAAGCCACCGATGTTTGGAAGTGGAAGGTATACGGGCCGTATACTCCATTTTGTAAGCAGCCCACCGAGCGAATCCCATTTTGGTTATATGCTCCCGGCAATTTGGGCTAAATCCGACAGTTGTGGACAACTCTAAACAATCCACAAAACATGGCAACCCCAAATCTACTAGTGAATCGTCAACTTCCCTTGATTAGCTGCCCATAAATTGACGGCCATCATTTACCATGTTCAGACACACCCGAATATCACATTGTTGGTCGTACATCCCAGCAATATTCCACGGCATATTCCATCATTATCCATGATTATCCTTTGTTCTCCCATGATTCATCATTACGCCATGAGTAGGCCACATGCTTTATCAATCATCATTATCCACTAACGTATTGCACGTGTTAATACCGTAGTACAATATCCCATATGACAATAGCATTCACATCTTCTGAGGGCTCAACCCATTTGAATCCTTTCCTCTGGCGACCTGTTTCGAGGTTTGCAGGTCCTTGGCTTTGCGATGTTGGCCATGGATACCAGCAGCAGTGCGGCAGAGGCCCAGGGCGGGGCTGAGGGCATTGGTGAAGTCGTGGGGCAAGAGACTTGGTGAATTGGGATACAATGAGTTAGAATTGACTAACAATCTTTAGAATCTTTAGTTTGATGTTGCTTGGTAGAATGTTATATATAATGTTAGCCAATTTCGATAGAACACCCAAGGAGATGGAAGGCAGTGTGAATGTTGAGTATGAGTCCTGTGATATATCATGATACTGAATAGATTATGTGAAATTTCACAGGGGCCAATTCCTCCATCCCTCTAGGATTGAGCACCACTAAACTAAAAAAACTAAAGGGATTACCACACATTTCAGTGACGATCCTGGTGGGGTGTTGAGGCCCATATCCCTGGATCCTATTGGTTCGCCAGAGCTGGGAAAGCTGTTGGGCAAGGATTACCCTGACACATTGAACCAGGATGAACCAGGTCTAACAGTCTGTTACAGTTAACAGAACTGATCATCTACTTGATTCATGTGCAGTTTTCACAGTTCCTAGTTATCATCTCAGTTACCAGGTCTAACAGTTTTCATCTACTTAAGAAGGGCCCCAGGTGAAAGTCCTGTGATTCTTGGGCGTCATGGCACGACCATGGCACGACTCTCGACCTTGTCACCAGGGCCTCAGTGAGAAGACACTTTGGGCCAGGGCCTGACGTTCCGCTGAGATGGTGTAGCGATTCCCCCACTCGGTTGATGTATGGTTGATGTTATATATGTTGTGTCATTTTAATATGGAGGATCTGGAGGTTCATTTCATGGGAACCATTTAGTTACCCAATGTTACCCATAGATCCCATGTATGAAATCAAGGCCTTTATCATTGCGCACGTGACGCGCATTTCGACCACCGTTTGGGGCGAAGGCTATATCCCGGAGGCAAGATGATTGGATGGTGAAGCTATGCTCTTGTCATGAATTGCCATTTCATTCAATGCAACCATTCAATTAGAATAATAGTTCAATAGATATTGTACAATGGGTTTCGACAGGTTTCGATGGATTTCAATCATTATTGGTCAGGTCCACCATTGATATCCATTTTTTTGATGGGAAAATAGAGGAAAGCAATCTACGTACACATTTCTATACGTGGGGTATTTTTCCAACCACGATAGATTAGCAGAGGCTATAACATACATGGGTTTGTTTCTGCGATTCATGAAGCATTCCACCAGCTGCTGTGGATTTTAAAACTTAGAAGTTGACATGTGGTGGCATGCACCAAACATAGCATGGCCACTGCGCAAGGATGACATGTGACTGCCATTGCAAAATGGCTCAAGCCAACGAAAGTTGGCACAAAGGCGAGACTGAAAAAGTCTTGCTTAGCAGCTGCTGCTTCAGCTGTTGATCCACGGGTTATGAGCCCAAAGGATCTCAGCTGACATGGAGCTTGCCAGTCGTCGTGAGTCTTCTCTCCAGCGAAGAGCTGCTGCCGCTGTTAGCGCTGCGAATGCTGCCAGCTGCGCAGACGACCTGATGGAGGAGATGTTGGAAGAAGCTGCTGGGTCTGGAACTGGTGGGTCTGTTGGAGCTCTGACTGTTGAACCTAACACCACTGAACTGAATAGTGGGGGTATGTTGGATGCTTTGGGACCTGTAGGACCTCCGTTGTCTTTTTCCCCTGGTCAGCCACCCATGTTAGTTGAGAGAGCTAAGGGAATGCAAAACCTCGAGGTGAAACAGAATGTTGAAAACACACCTGGTGTCAAAAGGGTCGTTGTGACAGAGCAACAAACTGGAAACCCACCAAATGAGGGGCATAGAACTACCACCGAACCAGTGCAGGGGATTGTGAATGAACATAGTCCTAGAGATGGTGCTGGCAAGGGAAAGGGGTCTGGCTCTGAGTCTGGTAGGAAAAATGTTGCCGCAGAAGCACAACACTCAAACCGGGATGTGCAGAGCTCACGTGTGAGGGGTTCTGAGGGTGTTGAAAATGTGTCGCAGGGCTCACGAATGAGGGGTTCTGTTTGTGAAACTGTGTCCCAAGACTCACGCATGAGGGGTTTTGGTTGTGAAAATGTGTCTCAGGGCTCACATGTGAGGGGTTCTGAGGGTTGTGAAAATGTGTCTCAGGGCTCACATGTGAGGGGTTCTGAGGGTTGTCAAAATGTGTCGCAGGGCCTCACTGAAAAGGGTTCTGTTGTTGTGAGTGAAACCATGCCTCAGGGCTCCGCGAAGGGTTCAGGGGTTCAAAGGTTTTACATAGGTGATGGGCCTCAGGGCTCCGGAGCCGTTGTTGTCGCGCCTCAGGGTAGCAAAAATGTTGTTGTGGTTCCAGACCAAATGGGGGAAGTTGTGAATCCCTTCTGGAGCGAAACTCAGCAGCGTGAAGCTGTTCGAGAAGCATTCGGGCCTGGGTACGATATGAGTGCCTTGGGTTTGCAGCCGGGTTCAAATGCGTCGACACCCCAAAAAGTTCATGTGGAACAAAGGGAAAGTGTTGATGTTGAAATGGATCCAATAGAACTGTTCCGATTGCGTTGTTTGAGAGATGCTGAAGAAAAGTTTCGGCAGGGTTTGTTGAATATGGGGATGAGTGCCAAGGAGTCAAGGGTTGAAAAACATGAGCATGAAAAAGGGTCGCATGGTTCTCAAAGTTCATATGTTTCGGCAGTGGATTTCCAAGAGCCTGTTGCCCCCAAATCTCATGATGTGGTTGAATCCCAAATGGTTCATGATCCATATGTGAGGGTTGTACCTGAAAAGGCTGTGACGCTCACGAGGGTTGCACCTGAAAACGTTGTGTCAACTGTGTCAAATGTTGTTGAACCATTTGTGCCTAGGCCACCACCTGGACCTCCACCACCATCGCCGCCAAGAATGTTGAATAGTGTATGTGGGTTAGGGTCAGTAACACCTCAATTCCCTCCTGCACTGCCACCTTTTCCTGCGTCTGTGGCAGGAAACTTGCAAAACTCAGGTGGTGAAAATCCATCTGAAAATCTCAGGACGGTGGAGCTTCCGAAGTTGTCCATGGATGCCACTGCTCTGCAATTTGGTGATTGGCTCAGCATCATCGATTCTCTCATGGGTGACTTGTCGTACTCGTCGGGGGATTGGTGGACCATGGTCAGGGGAGCTGTTGATCAGTGTTATAGGGATTGGTTGAATGTTGGACCAATTGAAAGGCTTAGGCTTCGACCACAGGTGGATCCTAGGGTTCATCTTTGGCCTCGAACGGAAAGAAGGGCTTTAGCCATGCTTTTGGGAGCCATTCCTGACCCCATCAAAGAAGAAGTGATTTCAGCTCGAAAACTGACCACTGACCAAGTGTTGTACAAGTTGTGCATCACCTTCCAACCGGGAGGTGCTACTGAGCGCACGAAGTTGTTGCAGAACATTACGGATTCCAAATGTGGTTCCAATGTTCATGAAGTTTTGGACTGGATTCGAACCTGGCGACGGTTTGTTCAAAGGGCCAGGGAACTCCATGTCACGTTGCCTGATGGTTTGGTTTTGCTAGGGGCTTTGAACAAATGTACTGATGTTTTGAGTGGAAAATCCCCACAAGTGGCATATCGTCTCAACATGATCCGCCAGCAGTTGAATGTGGATCAGTTGCCAACAGCAGAGACGATCCTGAGCTACTCCGAGCATCTGCAAGCTGAAGCTGAAGAGCTGACTTTGAGCGCGCCTGCGAAGGCAACTTCGGCTGTGAGGGCTGCTGCTTTGGGTGTGCCATTGCCTCCTGGGATCCCTCAAAATCCTCAAAGTTCCCCAAAACCTCAAAATGAATCGGATCCGAGGTTTCCGAACTCAAAAAGAAAGCCTTGTAGGTATTGGATGAGTGAAAAGGGGTGTACCAGGGGTGATCAATGTTCTTTTGGTCATGCGAATTTGGACCCCCAAAGTAACCGATGTTTCAACTGTTCTGCTGTGGGTCATTCAAAACGTGACTGTCCTTTGAAGAATACAGGGTCGGACCCCAAACATGATCCCACCAAAAAGAGGGTTGCCAAGGTGTCAAAACCAAGTGGAAAAGGGACCCCCGAAAAGTCTGGGAAGGGTAGTGGGGAACATAGTAGCCCTGAAAAAACTACTGGGGATGTTGCTGCAGCAGAAAAGCCTCTTGGATCTGAAACTGCGTACAGGACTGGGCCGGAAACTGGGGATGGGGGAGAAAGCACCCCTGAAAGGGTCACTGGGCTGTTGAGTGAAGCCGCTACCCTCTTGAAAACCCTCAAACCGGTTGCCAAAGCTGTCAAAATCAAAAGGGTGAATGCTCCTGATGGACCCACAGGTCTCTTGGATGGTGGGGCAACAAACGCTTTGAGAAGGGGAACCCCTCAAGAACTGGCTGAAGCTGATCCTGTTGTTGTGGAGTTAGCACATGGATCGGTTGAACTGAAACAACATGCTTTGACGGGGACCATTCTCACTGAACATGCGGTTGAACCCATTGTGCCATTAAGGGGATTAATTGACCTTGGTTTTGTCATCAAATGGAGTACCCATGGTTGTGAAATCAAACACCCCTCAAGAGGAACCATTCAGTGTTGGTTGCGAAATGGGTGTCCTGTTGTGTCTGAAAAACATGCGTTAGGGTTGATTCATGACATTGAATCTTTGGAGTTAGCCAAAAGAATCCCTTCTGAAAGTCCTGAAACCGTGTCTGAGACTGCGCATGAATGGTGGTCACAAAGGTTTCCGAATGTTCCCAAAAGAATTTGGAGATACATGAAGGGTCAAGGGGTTGACACTCCAGGGGTTCACTTGCCTTGGAATCGTGCCCAAAGGCGTCGACATGCCCAAGCTAAGGCGATTGTCATCCACTTGTATGCCGGTGAAGCATCTAAGGATTGGAGTCTTGGTTGGCCTGCTGACGTTGAAATGATCACCTTGGACGTTCGAGATGGTCAGAATGTCCACGATGCTGCAACTTGGGCCTACCTTTGGCGACTTGCTGCATCTGGTCGTGTCGTAGCTGTGTTGGGGGGACCACCATGTCGTACTGTGAGCAGATTGTTGGAGAAAACACCAGGACCACCAAGGTTGCGTTCAAGAAATGGTCCTGAAAGGTTTGGGTTTGAACACCTCAATGAATCCCAACAACAAAAAACGGACAGTGACACTGCGCTGTACCTGAAACAGTTGGGGTTGCACATGCATGCTCACGAGTCATGGGATGGTTCAAGATGGCCCCACATGAAACATGTTGCGAATAGGGTTGGATTTATGTTGGAATCCCCTCAAGACCCCAAAACTTACCTCCAAAATGGTGAAGGGGATGAGTCTGCGAGTTTTTGGGCTTGGGATGAAACAAGGGATTTTCTTGAAGCTTTCCAACCAAATGGAATGGAGTTAATCAGTTTTGACCAGGGTGCGTTTGGGCATACTCGGAAAAAACCCACAACATGTATGACCAACCTCCCTGACATGAAAGAACTAGATGGCTGTCGCTCTGGTGAACGTGAACGACACTTGGCGGTGAACTTGGATGAAAGGTTGAACCAAACTGCCTCTTGGTCACTTTGGGCACCAGGGTTGAGGGCTGCCATCAAAACGTCTCTGTTGGTTTTGGTTGAATGGTATGGGATCTCACCACCAAAATTGTCCAAAAGTTTGGGGTTGGATCAATGGAAACAACATATCAACCAAGGACATCAACCATACCGACGGGATTGTAGGACATGTATACTCAACATGGCTGGGTCAAAACCACACCGACGTAGGGAACATGCTGGGAGTTCTGCTTGGACCATGTCTGTTGATTTGGTGAACCTCCCCAAAGCACGTGACCTTGCTACCAAAAAAGTTGTGAGATATGGTTTGGTTGCCACAGCCCTTGTTCCGGTGTTTGACTCTCCTCCGGGGGACGAAACGTCAGCTGCCGAAAAGCCACTTGTTGCTGGCGATGTGTCTTCCGATGC